TATGCAGCAGCACAGATTTGACTCGAGATCCATTCGGGGTGGAATTCGTGGGGAGATTCCGGCAATTCCCCTGCTGCGCCGATGTCTCCATCACCAGGGGAATCTTTTCCAAGGCTGGACTTGCTGCAGAGGCAGCCAGTGCCGCTGATTTTGCAGCTGCAGCAACGACCGGCAAGTATGGAGCCCGTCCTGGTTGGCAGACCTACGCTTCGCATGCTGCCCGACACACCTTTTCTCAGCACTGTAATGACAGCCTTAGTTGGTACTTTACGTTTTTTTGGGTCACGTAAACGTAAACTTACGCTTGAGTTTACCTTTACGTTTTCTTACGCGTAATTTTACGTAAAGTCGCACGGGCAGGGCAATTTTTTTTTTTTTTGCCCGCGAAACGAAAAAATCTGACTGATATGAGGTGGGAGAGGCTGCTACATGTTTGTGTAGATTTGGGGCATCTGTAAGTTGATGTAATAATGTGCTAACATGCTTGGGCGTAGAAGAACCAAGCTAGTGATAGATTAGGCGCTTCCCATGCAGCCACTTAGTCCGATGATTTCTTATATTTCCGGGCAGTTAGAACTGTTTCTAGCTGACCGTAAACGTAAAGCCATTTTTAGCCCACGTAAGTAAACGTAAGTTTACTACGTAAAGTCACGTAAACGTAAACCACCGTAAACGTACAATACCAACTAAGATGACAGCCGAGCAGGGGATGATGGCTGCTGAGAAAAGGAGGATTTCGGGCTTTGCTAACCAAGTACACTTTTGCCCACATGGCTGAAGCACTGTGCACTTTAGCCCTGGCTGGGGAAGGAGACGGTGCATGGCGGTGTCCAACATTGGCACAGCAGATACGAGGGAAATCTCTCCCGCCCATGTGACGTTTCACCAGTCCAGGCCGCAAATCAGAGTGGTGACCTCTTGGGTACCGGGGGTCTACTGTCGATCTCTGCTCATTAGCCTCGCGACAAGACCCTGTAATGTTCAAATTTCTAGGTATATGGGCAAGAGAGATTTTGAATCTTCCAAACGCGGGCACAAGATTGAGCGTGAAATTCTCTGGAACTGAAGTGGTGGGGAGATTCTGGCGCCATTCCCCCTATACACCAATGTATGGGTCCTGCCAACAACGCACGAGTATGTGCGAAGGACGGATGCCATCACCAGTAATGTACCCCGCGCGAGGCATAAGCAAACATGAAAACTTGGTCTGTGCTGAACAATTGGCGAGCCTGTCCGAATCCGGCCAGCCTGTCAAAGGTCGAACTGCACTGGTTTGCCTTGAATCATAGCCCCGCGCAAACCTCGTACGACATGCCCAGGATCCTTGCGACCTTTTTTACGATCCTAGGGTAAAAGCTTGTGGTAATACTGGGTGTAGATATTTAATCATGATGGCCACGTAAATCTCACAATAATCTATGTGTCGCAAGGTTGTTCTTGGACCGGTGCATTTGGGGTGGAAGGTGCCCTTGGACTGGCGAGAGAGTCAGCCAACATTCCCCCTCTTGACCAATGCTAGCATAACCAGGGGAATCTCGTCCAAGGACTGAGGTATCAGCTACCAACACAGATGATGCACCGGGTACATTGCACCCACGACAAGGTTCGGTAGGTGTGGGGCCCGTCCGGATGGGCAGGCATATGCCTCGTGCTGCGAGACCAGCGTATTGACCAACGAGCACTCTGCGCTCAGTCCTGTGATGACGTTCAAGTAGGGGAGTGAGTCGGAAGATGCTCACGTAAGAAATTAAGCTCATAGAAGTATGAGGCACATTGGCCCGCACGGGAGAACCTCAGTGGTGAATCAGCGGTGAGCTTTGGAATTTCCCGATCCAGGCAGATTGGCAGGTGAAACCGCCGATCCGCTCAGATTGGCTGGCAAGAAGAGGGTACAAATAAACACCCGACCCTGGTTCGGGTTGACCTGACCGAGGCCCTGGTCGAAAATGACCCATCTGTAAAAGGCCGGGTCAGGAAAATTGGGTCGGGTCGGGATGGGTCTGTAGCCGAACTCTCCACATAAGGAGTTGTTGAATCCTCCATACATGGAAGGAGTGAAAGCGAAAACCTCTCAGATTAGACTTGTCATGAAGAGAAAAGTCCCAAGAAGACCACAAATAACTTCCATGAGTTCCAGCATACTCTAAGACGCCATTACTTCCTGATCGAGTCTTAGCTCCACCAACTTCTAATAAGCCGCCTCTCTCTGAAATGGTAAACACTAAGCTAATCGTGAGCTCACCAATTTTTCTCATGAACCATCTTCCCATCAAATCCGCTAGATGATAATTCTTAAGGCCAATCTGTTCCAAACGCTCACTCATTGCCAGATGAGCAAGATATATACCTGTATAACTGTGAAGATAAAATTTAATCCAACCGGCCCCGGTTTCACTTGTGACTGCATACATCCCTTTTGAGCTTGTAAAACTTGCCATTCCCCTCTGAATCTGCAATGGGAGATTGGGATCTTGTATTCCCCCTTGGAGTAAGTGCTGTAACCATGATTTCGCGTGCTTATCTCTGACACAATCATCTCCGTCTTCTCTATAGATCTGTTGGTAGTCACAACCTCATCTATGAAGAAATGCTAGGCTATAAGGCCCCACAAGCGGAGCCTCCAAATTGTTTTCTCATGTACATGGACAAACATTTGGCCATCCCAGCTCAGTGTCTCAAGCACATTTGTCTATCTGGTGATCCACTTTAGCCTCTTGTCATCAATCTGCAGGCTATACGTTTCACCCCTGCTTTGGTGTACACATGTTTGCGTGCTTATGCAACATTCAGAACAGCCCCAATCATGGCATCTCTTGTTGTCCATTCTTGTGATGTTTGCTCCTTATAAAAATGTGGTAGAAAGTCGAACTTAAGTATAGGAAACATGTTTGCGCTCACGCTTGGAGGCACTTATTGGGATAGGTACTTGAAATTTGAGCGGAACAACTTCCACTTCCAACACCTCCTATTATCGTGTGTGTAAGCTAGTATAAGTACGAGTTTAACACTCTTGGATTTTACACATTCTGTTTCCACTCCCCTCTCCCACCAACTACTGACTCTATCTCTCTCTTTCTTGGCCCCCTTTGGTTGTATGTAGGGATGAGCAAAGGGCGAACTCGAACACGCTCGGGTTCGAGTTCGCTCGAACATCACCATTTCCCGAACCGAACAAGGTTTGGTTCGGCGAACAATTTGGCTAGCAGGAGGTGTTTACCGTTCGCCCATGGGGGCGAACATTTGGTATATGTGGGCGAACTCGAACATGTTCGAGTTCGCCCGTGGGCAATTTCGTTAAAATCACATTGGTCAAACAGGGAATCTGGAGGGTTGGGAAGATAGATAGGGGGGTGGAGGGTGTATATGTGTTCATGCAACGCACACCAGCATACCACACCATCATGTTTTGCCTATATAAAAGTCACTGTCAAATTAAATCCTACGCCTGCACACCACTGCTACTACCAACAACAGCATGCTCCGCGTCAGAGGTGTCGCCAGCACCCACCCCCTCCTGCTCCTCCTCCCCCTCCTCCTCCTCCCACTCGTCGTCCTCCTCCTCCCCCTTGCCTTCAATGGCGAACTCTGGTGGTGCCTCGCCTTTTGCACGGCGGCCCTCGCCTATCCTCTGTCCAGGGTGTGAGGTGTACCATGATATGAGAATCATGGAAGCTCGCGTCCTCTGAGAGGCTAGGCGGTGCCACTTCCAGGAAATGAGGTTGCGGCCGAGGGAGAACACGCGCTCGCTCGACGCGGACGTGGCAGGGATGGCAAGATAATCCTGGGCCATGCGCCTCAGCGTCTGCATGTTGGTGGTGCTGCGCCAATACTCCAACGCTGACACGTCGCACCGCACCCTCTCAGATAAGTACCTGCCAACCTCGTCATCCTGCACCATCCCACCCCTCCCCGCCTCCTGGCTCGCCGACAGACGCGCCGCAAGGCGTCGGCGACTAGGGAGAAACTCGGCGTCTTCGTCGTCATCCGCCGCGTCTCCCTCCTCCTCCTCCGTCACTGGGGCAAGAAAGGTCGGCCGAGGGGCAATCGCTGCAGCCCGAGCCTGGTACTCGGCCACGCGCTCGCGACCCAGCTGGATCACCTCGCCTGACAAGGGACGAGGCCTCGCCCTCCGGTCGGTATCGGGATGCAGCGTCTCCCAGTGCGCGTCGTCGAACCACGCCGCCTTCATGGAAGGGTCCAGGAAGGTCGCGATCCACAACTCGTTGCTTGACATCAGTTCATACTTCTTCAAGAGACCCAGCGCCGCCTCAATCATCGGCTTCAGCGTAGCCAATGGCCACTTGGCAAGGCGCGACTCCATAGCGTCGATCAGGCCGTTGTAGTACGGCAGAACCATCGCCACTGTAGGGTACGCCGCTCCCTCCGCGGCCTTTGAGACTTTGGCGAATGGGCTGAGGAAGGTCTTGACAGAATGCAGAGTCTCCCAGTCTGCGTCCGTCAGGCGCAAGGTGTCCATCTTCGCCTTGTCAGCCTTCGACACGCCCTGTTGGGTAGAACGTATGGGTGGGCGGGTGTTAGGGTGGAAAGTGGGGTGGTTGAGGTTGTTGGAGGTCCGATAAGTTTAGTCAAGCATGGTCAACAGTGGTGCAAGTCCCAGAACAAAACACCACGACCGACATACCAACACATAAAACCGCATACACAACACCTGGCACACACACACACCTGTGTCTGGGCAAAGAAGACAGAGATGGGTTCCTGCAGAACCCCAGCTCGCTCGACCATGTCGTGGGTCGACCCCCAGCGTGTGGGACTGTCCTGCACCAGCTTCAATGCCGGCTTCGGTTTGGCGGGGTTGCCCTGCGCGTTCAGGGTCCGCTGAAGGCCCAAGAACTTCCCTGAGCGCTGCGGCGAGAAGCCTATCCACGACGCCATCTCTCTCAGAATCTTCAGCAACTTGCGGATGGTGGTCACAGCGAGTGTTGCCTTCACTGCAAGGTTGATCACGTGTGCCAGGCATCTGCGCACATCACAAAACATTAATGGCGGAGAGAAAGGGAAGTGTGAATCCAGTGACCCGTTACCACTAGCCACGCCCTGTTGTTGGGCGACGTCCACATGTCGATGGTGAACGACACCCTGCACCCCAGCTCCCCCTCCTTCGTCAGCATCTCCGCAATGGCTGACTGAAGAGCGGCAGCCGCATGGACCACTGTGTCGCGGGAAACCGTCCAGCACGAGGGGATGAAGTTCTTCTGCGCGCAGTTGCGGTTTAGCAGGATGAGTAGCTCACGAAACTGGAGAGGGGTAGAGACAAGGGGGGAGAGGGGAGTAAACGTCAAGGGGATGGGATGAAAATAATATAGCACTGCACTGGGCCACGCGCAAACAGTCAAAACACAAAGGGACAGACCCGTCCACTAACCACATGCTTGCCCAATCATGCATGGGATGGGATGGGGCACTTACAGTCTCGGCCTCGACGATGCGGAAGGGGAGGTCGCAGGTGACCACCAGCTTTGTGATCACCTGCCGTAGCTGCACCGGGGTCAGTTTGGTTGTCATCCACCGCTCCATCCCGCCTGAACCATGACCTCCACCAATCGCCATCCCTTTCTCCTTGGCGAGCTGCGGCCAAGTCTTGGCATGTGGCCACTGATATACGTAGCCATCCGGCACTCCCTTGTAGCCCCCACGGGGAAACGTCTCCCCTGGCAAGTGAACGGATGGGGTGTGGTAACGGTGAGGCCACACATGCATGTGCGCAGTGTGGAAGCTCGCAAAGTGCCGCTCGCCGGGGGTTGTTGTGGATTGCTTCCGCGAAATCCTGTCTGTGCAAATCTTGCACTGACGCTTATCGTCTGCCCCTAACGGTCCGAACATCATTACTTGCCACCCCGGCTTCCTATTACCCTTGCCAGTCCCCTTACTACTCTCGGACCCTCCGTCCTCGTCTAGGAACTCGGGAGCGATCACACCCTCGCCCAAGGGCTCCCCAGTGAACGTGCAGGGATACGCCCGCTCCCTCAACTTGTTGGCCTTCTTCCTCTGCCTCGGCTCCCTAATGGTCACGGCCTTTCTCCCCCCCACCTTAACCCCCAAGCTCCCTCCCCCTTCACGCACATGCTGTGATCCCGCCTCTGTCGCCGCCCTTCCACCACCCTCTCCCACCTCCTCCTCCCGCCCCTCTGGCTCCAACCCATCCATCTCGTGGTCTTCATCATCATCATCATCTCCCCCCTCCCCACCGCCATGCGTCTCTGGGTTCCACGCCGCCTCGCTGTCATCCCCGCTCCCCTCAGTGTCCTCCTCCTTCTCGCCCTCACCATCCTCCTCCTCATCATCCTCCTCACTGCCGCTCTCCGGCTGCGTCTGCGTCTGCCCCGAAGGAGGGGGTCGAGGGCCGTCGTAACGGAAAGAGCGACGAGAGGTCGGCGCCGGTACGGTAAGCAACCCCCCAACGAAGATCGCGCCGGCTCCTCCCGGTCCATCCCCTACTCGCCCCTGCATAGGTCGTGGTGGAGATCCCGGTGCGCTGCCCTGAGCCCTGCCTGCACCTCGGCCTATGGATCCACCAGCTCTGGAAGCCATAACTCCGCCCTCGACCCTAAACCCTAAAACACCCTTCCTGCAACGGTAGCGTTGGATGGTGCCGCACGTTCCTAAACGTTATCCTGCACAGTTAGGTCTCTGACCAAATCTGGTCGCGGCCAATTTTGACGCGAACCTTTTTGGTGTTCGCGTGGCCCCCAAGTCGAACACGAACATGTTCGTATTCGGCTTGGAGACCCGAAATTCTGGGGCGAACGTCGAACATGTTCGGCCGAACACCGAACATGTTCGGCCCGAACAATTCTGGCAAAAAAAATTGCCTGTTGTTCGAGGCGAACCGAACAGGCATTCGGGATTTTGCTCATCCCTAGTTGTATGTACCATCAGGAATCTATCAATTAACAATTTCAGTGGTTCGATTTCATCCACCATCGGCAACATGATCAGCCTTGAATACCTGTCCGTATCCAAGGAATTGAATCGATAACTCTCATTTGCATGGCTAATCATTCCTGAAACTACAGATTAAGCTGGATTTGGGCTTCGCTAAGCAGGTATACTTTGGCCCACATGATTGAACCACTTTGCACTTTGAAACTCAAGGCCGGGAAGGGAGGCGGTGCATGGCAGTGACCAAAATTGGCAGAGCACTTGCGAGGGAGATCTCTCCCGCCCGCGGTGACGCATCACCAGTCCAGCCTGCCACTCATAGTGGTTTCCTCCTGTTAACCAGGGTCTGCCCCCGATCTCTGCACATTAGCCTCACAATAAAGTCCTGCAATGTTCAAACAATTATGATGCATGGGCTAGGGAGACTCATTTTTCTTCATGCGTGAGCAGGATATTGAGAGTGATGTTCCTTGAAATCGAGCCAGCAGTGAAGGATGACGACCCATGGCCATGAGATATAGCTACCATCAGTTCGTCATACCAAATCCAACCATTCTCAAGCAGCCCTCATATTTGGTCAAACCTAAGTGAGCTTTAAGCTGCCCTCATATTTGATCAAACCTAAGTGAGCTTTAATAAAAGAACAGGAATCCTCTTATCAAACCTAAGGTAGCCCTCTTTATTAACAATATATAAATATATATATATATATCTTCCTAATCTCATATACATACTGAAATTAGCAAGCCGGCCTGTGATGGAGAGGACTGCCGCAAGGAGATAGGCTGGGGTTCGCCCACGAATTTGCACAAGGACGGCAATACGCTGGTTTGATCCGTGTCGATCTGGCAAAGAGCATAGGACTGGCCATAGTACATGACCTTTTTGCAGTGCAGAGAGATGTTCGTGCTTGCAAATTGGCTGGCCCGATCGTGCTGAACTTGCAAGAAGTTCTGCACGATCAGCCCATTTGCAAGCCCATATGCATCAGAGGCTGGCCCGACCGTGCGTGCCCTAATTCAGCCATATGAACATGGCTAATGCACTCATGACGCCTTTGACTGGGAGTGTGCTTATGTTCCATTCACATCAAGGTTGTTTCGGTCCACAATGAGCTGACTCGCAGACCAGCCAAGTGGGCGGCTGATTTGGCCTGTGTGACATACGTGAGCCGGGACAAGCAGGCATGGCTCGTCGCAGTCCGTCTGATTAGATGTGAGAGAGATCTCTCCCGCTCGCCCATGGTGACGTGGTGAGAGAGCTTTCCTCTGTGATGGGGATCGACAAAGCACTCACTAGTGGTGCAAATCACCGAAGACACAGACAACCATGGTGTCCTCTCAGCAGGGTATGACTTACAATCTCGGTGCCACTTGCCACTCCCACTCACGTGGCCAAGCCGTGTGAGGAACCTTGCAAGTCACGTGCCGTCCACTTCTTAACCATCAGGATCGTGGATATGGAAGCGTTGATGGTTTTTAAAACTGTCAGTGTGCACACTTGGGTGACAAACAATAAGATCACGATCTCCTTTGGGTCCTTTTTGAGCTAAATGTCCACTCCGGATGGAGACCACGTTTGGTCTTATTCAGATACAATGTTATTCACCAGCGTCAAGGGTTTATCCACCTCAACTCACATGTCAGGTAAAAAGACCCAACCTTGTCATCCGAGTCACCTTATGTGTGTGTTCCACCAGGGATACCTCCACCCTCCCAGCAAATTCACGGCCAGCCCCCCAGTATGATGCAACCGTAGAAGAAACCTTGCCAGCACACACACCTCCTTGGGACACCAGCAGCAAGCCCCCTCACCGATCCCATGTTTGGGTGCTCCACAAGCACGAGGGAGCTCACAAAGAAGCTTCCTGGCCTCTTGGTGAGCGTTCGATGGCCTCAAGCGAGCTCCATCCTCTCAGCTGCAGCACTGCCTGCTGGTCCACAAATAATGGAGACTGGTATGGCATCATTCTCAGCAGCTGGGTCCTAGGAGGAAATGTGGACGAGTAATTTTCACCCCCAGAGGGAAGAGTGCGTCTGGGACCAAGGGAGGCAGCATCACTGGGCAGACGCGTGTGCAAACCTGTAGTGGGAGCATAAGAGACCAACTATCATGGTTCGAAATTCGAGTCACACGAAGCTATGCATGAGGAGGAGGGAGTATCTGCGCCAGCGCGAATGCGAGGTACTTGGGATGTAAGGTGCCCCTGATCTAGCAGAGAGAGGATGCAGCCATTCCTCCTGTGTGCCCACAGCGACCTGTCACCATTGTGAGCCGGTCCGTCTCGCCACTCACAGTGGTGAGCAGGATTTGCTGCAAATCGCTCCACATTAGCCTCACTATATGGTCCTGAAGTGTAGCTCACTATATGGTCCTGAAGTGTAGCTCGTAACTAACTCGTGGTTCATAACTCATGATGGTCTGTCTCACCACTCACACTGGTGAGCGGGATTTACTGCGAATCGCTTCACATTAGACTCACAGGGTGCCCCTGATCTGGCGGTAAGATACATGGGCAAGGTTATGTGCATTTTTGTGCACATTGACAATAATATAAGGGGTTGGTCAATCTGTCCATTCATTATCTAGTGTCAAAATGCTAACATTCGGCTACCCCGGCACATCATTCACTATTTAAGCACCATATGTACAACCGGTTATCCACTTTGGCAACTGGTCATCATCGGTCTGCATGGTGCACTCCTCACTGCTCCTTTGGCTCTACGTGTTTGTGTGCTTGCGTAGCATTTTAGACCAGCACCCCTTATGATATCTCCTGTTGCCCCTTCAAAAAAATCTGTTACATGGTGTTGAAATGTAGAAACCCTGTTTGTGCTAACACCTGGAGGTACCTACTAGGCTAAATACCTCGTCCTATGATCACATTCACATCTCGTCGTGGCGTCTTCCACTTTTGCAGCCACCCATAACTGCCAAACTGAGTGTGTGTAACGCGTCGTGACTATGTGCTTGTTCAACACTTAAGACTACCTCAATTGGTTTCATTTGCTTTCACTAAATGTAGTGGTTGTTTCTTGCAGCATTGTGTGATGGTTCGATGTTAAAGTTCAGTAGTTTCTTTCTGGTGTGCTCACAATCAAGCACCTTCTAGAATAGGTAGCTTATATCACAAACCACATATCAGCATGTCATGTTCACTCATCCCTCTCCTACATTTTAGTTCAGTTCTATTTTTTTTATTACTTTCATGGCACCGTTTTCATGCGCTCTGTAGCAATGGTTTGATCGTATCTGCCTTATATGCAGCCATACTCATGTGACTATAAATTGAGGTATTGTTTTTCTTGCTGTATTTCTTTATGTGCGCCCATACACCCTTCATATGTTGCATCATTAGGTATCTTAACGACAATTCTCTGAGAGGGTCTATTCCATCCACCATCCGTAGCCTAAGCAACCTTCAGACATTGTGAGTATCGTGAAGGGAATAGGAAAGAGAGCCAACATGACATCGTACGTGTTCAGAAATTAGAGGGATTGCGATGGCGACACCAAGTCAACTTGATTTGAGAACAAGCATATATGCTAGGCATGACCACGGGCTGGTGCTGGGCTGAGCTAGCCCGCTAACCCAGGGCCTGGGGGGCCGCCTATGGTAGGTCGGTTCTAGAGCTAGTTTGCCAGAGATCTGCAGCAAGGCGACTAGTTGGTGGGCTCAGACCATGATACAACTAATCATTGTACATGAATTTTCTGCAGCAAGCTGACCCAACAGGCCAGGCTAGTAATTGCCAGGCTGAGATTGACAAGCGGTACATGCAACAAGGGCAGTCTGGAACGTGTTCCAAACAGGCTGGCCCAACCACACTGTCCCACACCATTCAATTTGAACTACATCATGACTAGAGGGTCCAAGCTCGGCCGTATGAGCATTTGGAGCTGTTGGAAATGACTCACAACTGCAAGGCTCCTACGAATAGTGGGTTTGAGCATAGGCCTATGACCAGCTTAGTCGTTCCATTGCACAACGAACAGACTGGCCGACGAGATGAGTGGGCAGCTAATTAGGCCTATGGCTCATTTATGATACGCAACCAATCGAGCCAGAACGAGCGTGTATGCCTCGCCACAATCTGTCAAATCCGCATGGAGATGCCAGTTTGCTGCCGGATGTATGTGGATCTTGCGTTTTACCACCACATTCGCATAAAGTAGAAAACTTTTCATTGCCTTATTCATATGTAGTGCTCCTTCCAGTGGCTGTGAGGTAGGAACGAGCAAGAATATCTTTTTGAATACAGTGACTGCAGACCATATGTGCTCCTACTCGATTTCAATGCTACTCACCAGTGCCAACTCACGTTTCAGGAGGGAGGACCCAAGCTTGTCATCCGGGTTGCCTCCACCAAAGTTTCCCCTAACCCCACAGCAGCAGAGTTGCAGCCATCCCCCCAGCATAATGCAATTGCAGCAAAACTCTGCCAGCACATGCACCTCCTTGAAAAGCAAGCACAAAGCACCCTGAACAGACCTTGTGCTCCACAAGCACGTGGGAGCTCATGAGGAACTTGCTGGCTGAGGAAAGTCAAACGAGAATGAATCAACTATGAAATGAGTGAGTACAAGTACTAACCCTAATTGTGTTGTACCCCCTATGGGATACCCCACTATAGCCTACACAAATGTATAAGCTATATAGCATTTTGACACACCCCCATAGGCAAAGTGGGGGAGAACAAGGGGTTACAAGACCAGTCAAGCAAAGCAAAGCAAAGCAAGCTCAGGGTGGATCACAAAGTCACCACACAGTCCGAGCATAGGGTCAAGGCCACACGGCCAGTTCACATGCAAGAGTACACACATATATATAAAGCTAGACAAGTAAGAGCAGGTATATATATATGTGAGAGTACAATCAAGGTCAAGAGGAGAGCAAGTGAGGCAAGACGGGCACAAGACCCAGCTGAGTGCAGAAGCGCTGATGATCACAATGCGCAAGTGCCTTGATAAAGACATTAGCAGTGTTGGCCTCAGAGGCCACGTACGCAAGCCGCAACTGTCCACGCTGCTGTAGCTCACGAGCAAGAAAGTAGCGGAGAGCAATGTGCTTTGTTCTGTGCTCCAGTCGCTGCTCTCGACACAAGGCCAGCATGGCCTTGTTGTCTACGTACAGGACTGGAGGAGAACGAGGCGGCTCTCCAAGGTCGGTCAGCAGGTAGGTGAGCTAGCAAAACTCCTGTGCAGCCATGGCCCCGGCGTAGATCTCAGCCTCACAACAGGAGCCAAGAACAGGAGACGAGCGAGTAGCCCGCCACGAAACAGAGCCGAAACCAAGGCTGAAGATGTAACCCTGTGACGACCGCTGCGTAGCCTGGTCGTCAGCCCAAGAAGCGTCCGCGTGCTCAGTGAGGACCTCTGGACTCCGCCCTCCAAGCACTAGCCCCATGCCCGACGTACTGCACAGGTAGCGCAACACCCTCTTCGCTGCAGCCATGTGCTCTGGTCGGTGTCTCCCAGGAGCAACATAGCATGCGAGAATGCTAAGAGGGTATGCAAGGTCAGGTCGTGTGCAGGTCATCAGGTACATGAGGCAGCCAACAAGCTCTGGGTACGGGCCACTCGACTCTACGGACTCATCCGAAGGGAGAGCTGAGGGCGAGTGGCGAGTAGACAGAGGAGTGGCCTGAGGCGAGGAGTACGTGAAGCCGAAGCGCTGAAGGACCTGCTGCACCATGTGTGACTGAGTCAGGGTAATGGTGCGGCGTGCTCTGTCCCGGGCGATCTGCAAGCCAAGGTTTCTGCGCAGTTCACCCAGGTCAGTGCACGTGTGTCTCTTCTGCAGCTCGGACTTCACGTAGGCGAGTCCAGCAGTGTCAGCTGTTGCAAAGACCAAGTCGTCGACGTACACGAGGATGTAGAACGGCGGCAGAGAGGTGTCGGTGCGCAGAAACAGCGACGGGTCGGCAGTAGAAGGAGCAAACCCAAGAGGCGTAAGCGTAGTCCTCAGTGTGTCGTGCCACTCACGGGGCGCCTGGCGGAGACCGTAGACTGGACGCCGGAGACTCCACTTGGTACCAGGAGGGAAAGACCCAGTGAAGCCAGGTGGGCGACGCAGCCAGATCTCCTCGTGCAGGCTGCCCTGCAAGAAAGCTGTGCTGAAGTCAAGAGAGTGCAGCTCGTAGTCACGGTGAGCAGCAACGTGCAGCAGTATCCGAAGAGTGGTCATCTTCGGGGTGGGGGAGAAGGTCTGAAAGTAGTAAACTCCCTACCGCTGGCTGAAACCACGAGCCACGTAACGCGCCTCGAAGACAGGTGGAGAAACCGGCGGCCGCTTCACCCTGAAGATCCACATGCCACTGACGATGTTCGCCCCAGGAGGGGGGACACCGTCAACGTAGGTGCCTGTGGACTTCCAGGAAGCCATCTCTGCATCCATAGCTGCCTGCCACTTAGAGGAGTAGGGACCCTCTATCGCCTCCGTGTAAGAGCGCGGAGTCGGGATGTCAAGTGCATCCGGGTCTCCCTCAGGGGTAAGCACTACGGACACGAGATGAGGTGAAGCAGCCGCCAGACACTGGAACTCCTCCTGCCTATCCTCAAGGACGTCCGTGCCAAGAGCAGACTCACCCCCGACGGACGGAGGACAGACAGACTCAGACTCAGCGACAAGACTAGCAGCGTAGTCTAGGCGACAACGAGCAGCCAAGTCGACGAGCTCAGCAACTAGGGCAGACGCAGCAGTAGACTCGAAGGAAGGGTCAGTGACAACAGTAGCAAAGAGACGCGTGACAGCAGGACTGGCAGCACGAAGAGAGTCCGACTCAGGGTCGGCAAGAGCGGGAAGAGAGGACTCAGGAGGGGAAGGCAAAGGGGCACGCAGAGGAGCAGTAGACGGACGCAGAGACATCCGTTGCATGCCAGGGACAGGAAGAGGACGCTGGCGAGGACCGCGACCACTAGCGCGAGCAGCACGAACAGGCGACGCAGGACGAGACGCAGGCTCACGACGCTCAGTAAGACCTCCAGTAGGACCAGCGTAGGGAGAAGGAGCAGGCAAAGGGGAGGCAGGTTGTAGCTGTGACTGTGACGGGACAAGCTGTGGACACTGTAAGGTAGGAGGCGGACTAGTGGAGTGGAAGACCAAGAACCTACTGCAGGAGTGGAACAAAGTACGGTCGAGGCCGCGTGGCGACGCCAGAAGCAACAGGGACAGCACCAGTACCCTCAGCAGGAGCAACCGCCCCAGCAGAACCTCCAGCAGCTCGAGAACCTCCAGCAGCACCAGGAGCACCCCCAGCAGGACCGCTAGTAGTAGTCTCAGCACCAATACCCTCAGCAGCACCAGCTCTAGTCGAACCCGCAGGCCCAGCAGCTCCAGTACTCTCAGTACGAGCACCTCCGGGACCCGCGACCGCAGCACCCTCAGCAGCTGAAGAACCTCCAGCACCAGCAAAACGGCGCCAGCGCCGGGCAAACCACTCGCGCAGCTCCTGTGGAGAGAGTGGCTCCCGGCGAGAAGAAGCACCCGGAGAACCTCCAGGCGGAGCACCTCCACGCTCAGCACCCCCAGGCGTAGCACCCCCAGGCTCAGCACCCCAAGACGCAGCACCTCGAGGCTCAGCACCCCCAGTCTCAGCACCCCCAGACGCAGCACCCCCAAGCTCAGCACCCCCAGGCTCAGCACCCCAAGACGCAGCACCCCGAGGCTCAGCACCACCAGACTCCGTACCCCTAGGTCCTGCACCCCCAGGCTCAGCACCCCCAGCAGCACCAGAGTCAACAGTGACCTCGACAGGCTCGACTGCGTCTACGTGGGACACACCTGAAGGGGCAAGACCCTGAGGGGGAAGGGGGTCTTACTGGGGGGGACCTGGTATAAGGAAGAGTGGGGGTGGGGGGAGGGACGGAGTGCGGTAGGGGAAGAGGCGGTAGTAGGGGACCGACTCGTCAAACGTGACGTCCTGGGAGGACAGAACACGCCGAGAGGTGGGGTGGTAGAATTGCCACCCAGGCGCGTCAGGGGGGAACCCCAGGAAGACGCAAGGAGCAGCACGAGGGGACAGCTTGTCCGTAGACAAGTCGCGGACAAACGCCCTAGATCCCCAGACCCGGAACGCTCACGCATCGCCAACCTTCCCCATCCACAGCAAGGCTGGGGAGGTCTCCGGCCTGGAGACTCTGGGGTGGAGTTTGATCTGATGCGCCGCGTACCTCATCGCAAATGGCCACAGAAAATGGGGGGCAGCCGCATGCTTCATAGACGTACGAGCGACGTCCATGACCATGCCAATGCGGCGCTCAGCAATCCCATTTTGCTGCGGTGAGTCCGGAAGCGTGAAGGTCTGACGGATGCCTCGTGCACGACAGTAGGCTCGCAGAAGGCAAGAGGAGAAATCTCCGCCTCTGTCCAAGTGCAGACGCACAACAGGGAAGTCCGAGCCAAAGCTCTGCCTGAGCTGGAGACGAGCTGCGCAGATCCAATCGATCAGTACCTCAGTGACACCACCCTTGGTGCGCAAGGGGAAGACTGTGGTGTAACGCGAGTAGTCGTCAACAACGAGCAGGAAGTAGCGCTCGTGACTCTGTCTACAGACGCGGGCTGGGCCCCACACGTCCATGTGAAGCGTCTGCAACGGGGCCTCTGTCGAAGGAAACTGGGAGGAGTGAGGGGCAGCACGCTGGCGCCCCTCGACACAGGGGACACAGGCAGGGCCAGGGCCCTGAGGAAGGGGAGGGAGGGACCGGGGGAGACCAGACACAAGAAGATGAGAGGCCATGCCTCTGAGCCGAAGCAGAGAGGGGTGGCCAAGGCGATGGTGCCAGAGGAGAGTCTCGTAAGACAGGAGACGACACGAACAGGGGGCAGACTCAGGACCAGACCAGGACGTCGCAGCAAACACCTGACCCGACGCAGCTACCCTACCAGACTCAGCAACTGGAGGAGACGCAGTGGTCAGACTGTACAGGCTCGACCCCGGCTGACGGGTGAACGTAGCCAGGTGTCGGCCTGTGCTAGCCTCCGTGCAGTGTGTCCCTCGGTGACGCGCAGGAGTGAACTGGTGGACACCTGCATCCTGTAGGTCAGCACCACTCACCAGGTTCGTCGAGAACGAGGGGAGGTAAAGACCAGACAGGGTGCCAGAGGGAGCCGCTGGACACGGGAGGACTGTGGAGAAGCGAGACAGTACAGGACCCCCGGAGGGGTCAGCCAGAGACCTCGCAACCGGCCGACTGAGCGGCGTGAGTGTGGTGCGGTCCCGAGAGAAGGAGCGAGACGCCCCAGAGTCAAGGGTGAAGGTGAGGGAGGCCAAAGCCGACGTAGTACCTGAGAGCGCAGACTCACCAGTACCTGAGGACGCAGACACACTAGCACCTAGAGCAGCAGCGTCGCAAGCACCTAGGGCAGCAGCCTCAATGCCCGGATCGGGCGGGAAACAGCGGTAGCAGTCACCCTCATCACTATTAGACACAGCATACATGACAGAGAGAATAGCATCAAATTCAAGATGAAAGATGACAACACCCGCCCTAGACAGCTCGCCCCAGCGAGGAATCTCTGAGGCCTCCGGGAACTGGTGATGCCACGCGTCCGTCAGGCGGCCAAAGCAGCGCTGGGTGGGGTGCGGGCCCCCACACTGCTCACCCGCACGGTCGCCGGTGCGCAGGACGTAGGTGCACGGACCAAAACCCCCACCCCGCTGGCGTGCAGTGTACCACTCACAGAGCTGCTGAGGGGACAGGGTCTCACGACCGCGCTGCTGCTGCTGGCGCGAGCAACCACCGGAGCCACTCCTCTGCGAAGACCCGCGACCAGCTCCACCGCCACCCCCACCGCCTCCGCCGCCTCCGCTACTGCCGCCGCCTCCGCCGCTGCCTCCACCGCCGCCTCCTCCGCCACCTCCGCTCCCACCGCCACCGCCGCCGCCGCCTCCGCCTCCACTGCCGCCACCGACCCCCCCACCCCCACCTCCACTCCCACCGCCACCCCCACTACCCCCACCGCCTCCACCTCCACCTCCACCGCCCGCTCCTCCAGCTCCCTTGCCCCCCTTGCCCTTGCCAGGGCGGCGTCTCCTGCTAGGGGCAGACGCCGCACCGACCGACTCAAGACCAAGGAGGTCGGCCATAGCAGCAGAGGCAACAGAGGGCAGCAGGGGGGAGGGAGAACACCCCTCAAAGATGGGGGTGCGCGGGTCACCTCGAGAGGCTCCTACAGCGACTATACTCTTCTCCGCTGCTAAGAGGGTCTTCTTGAGGAGGTCGACAGTGTGTGTGGTGGGACAGACTGAGAGAAAGTGGTCCCTGACTACTCGAAGGGAGTCAGGAAGGCGAGTGACTAGGAAGTACAGAGTGATGTACATGGGGGGGGGTTCGTGGCGCAGAAGTCAGCGGGGAGTGCAGCGCGGTAGCGAGTGTCACTAGTGCGGAGGTGCGTAATGAGGTCTGCCACGGTGGGAAAAGCAGCAAGGCCAGGGAAGAGGTACGGTAGCATGAGACGGCTGAGTGCAGCAGTGGCAGGGGAGGAGTAGCGCGCGACTACAGCGTCGTACAAGGTCTGAGCACTCTTGTACTGACTAAAGTGTGCACGCTTGGAGGTAGGGAGGTGGCGACGCACAGCAAGACGTGCAGCAGCGTCGCGCGTGGCCCACTGGGAGCAAACAGTGGCGTCAGCATCAGCAGCAGGGGCAGGGGAAGCGCCAGAGGTAAGGTCAAAGAGAGAGAGGCCGTCTGCCCTATCGCACTGTAAGAACAGCTGCAGGTCGTCTACCCAGACCTCAAAGTCAATGGCCCTACGCTCGGCGTAAAAAGTGAGGACACTGGGGGTAGCCATGACGACAGATGCCTAGCAGTGCAAACAGTAGGGTGAGGGCACGCAGTGACAAAGGGGCTGTGCTCACCGGACAAGGCTGCTCGGGCGGCTCGGCTGTAGGGCGGCTAGGCGGCTCGGCGGCTCGGCTGCTAGGGCGGCTCGGCGGCTCGGCTGCTGTGTGGCTCGGCTGCACGGCGGCTCGACTGGTGGGCGGCCGGGCGGCTCGGCTGCAGTGCGACTCGGCAGCAGGGCGGCTCGGCTCCTCTTCTACTGGGTGGCTCGGTAGTGCCGCTGTAGGGCGGCGCGGCAGGAGCAGGAGGCGGCGGGGCCGCTGCGATAGGACGGTGGGGCCGCAGGAGTAGGGCGGCGGGGCCGCGACGTAGGGCGGCGGGGCCGCGACGTAGGGCAGCGGGGCCGCAACGTAGGGCGGCGGGGCCGCTGGGGTAGGGCGGCGGGGCCGCGTGAGTAGGGCGGCGGGGCCGCGACGTAGGGCGGCGGGGCCGCAAGGGTAGGGCGGCGGGGCCGCAAGGGTAGGGCGGCGGGGCCGCGTGAGTAGGGCGGCGGGGCCGCGACGTAGGGCGGCGGGGCCGCGACGTAGGGCGACGGGGCCGCAGGGGTAGGGCGGCGGGGCCGTTGATGTAGGGCGGCGGGGCCGCGACTTAGGGCGGCGGGGCCGCGACGTAGGGCGGCCGGGCCGCTGATGTAGGGCGGCGGGGCCGCGAGGTAGGGCGGCGGGGCCGCGAGGTAGGGCGGCGGGGCCGTAGGAGCAAGGCGGCGGGGCCGCCGAGAAAGGCGACGGGGTTGCGACGTAGGGTGGCGGGGCCGCACGAGTAGGGCGGCGGGGCCGCGACGTAGGGCGGCGGGGCCGCGACGTAGGGCGGCGGGGCCGCAGGAGCAAGGCGGTGGGGCCGCCGAGAAAGGCGGCGGGGCCGCGACGTAGGGCGGCGGGGCCGCGATGTAGGGCGGCGGGGCCGCGACGTAGGGCGGCGGGGCCGCAGGAGAGGGAGGGCCGCTAGGGCGTAGTGGCCACTAGGGCGGCTCGAGGAGGTGAAAGCCCGAGGCGCGACTCAAGGGGGGGGGGAGCGCGCTTCGGGCAGGAAAAAAAAAAATTCTCAATATGGTGGGCCCTAGGCACAGTTCCCACGGGGGAACCTGCTCGATACCATGAGGAAAGTCAAACGAGAATGAATCAACTATGAAATGAGTGAGTACAAGTACTAACCCTAATTGTGTTGTACCCCCTATGGGATACCCCACTATAGCCTACACAAATGTATAAGCTATATAGCATTCTGACACTGGCCTCCTCTTAAGCCTGCGATAGCCACAAGCTCCATCCTCTCCGCTACAGCTTCAGCCTGCCCATCCACAAGGAGGCTGGCATGGCACCAGTGGCGGTGGCTGTATCCTAGGAGGAAATGTGGACAGGGGAAAGTTCACCCAGGAGAGACAGGTGCGTCCGGGACCAAGGGAGGTGGCAGCAGTGGGTCGAGTGTGCGGATCTGTGGCAGGAAGAATGGAAGCCCATTGCCGAGGTTCATAACTCATGATGGTCCCATAGGAAGCTTCGTGTGAGGAGGGAGCATATGCACCAGCACATATTTGACTCGAGATCCATTCGGGGTGGAATTCGTGGGGAGATTACGGCTGCAGGTATGGCAGGCAGGTGTAGGGTCGGCCTGATTGGCAAACCTACGTTCTACTTGCAGCCAGACCCACCTTTTCACAGCGCTGTATGACAGCCGAGCAGGGGAGGACCGCCGGTGACACTGGGGGGATTTCAATGTCCTCTATCCAGGTACACTTTGGCACATATGGCTGAACCACTGTACACTTTTGACTCCAGGGCTAGGGATGGAGACGGTGCACGGCGGTGACCAACATTGGCGGAGCAGGAGATCTCTCCCAACAGCGTCATTATGTCAGCTGTCCAGCCCGCCACTCACATTGGTAACCTCGTGGGTACCAGGTTCTTCCGCAGCCGATATCTCCTCATTAGCCTCGAAATATGGTCCTGCAACATTCAGGCGACAAGTTACATGGGCGAGGATGGTTATTCCATACATGGGAGGATGACGAGAGTGGGAACCTTTGAAATCAAGCTGGCAGTGACGATCAAAGGCACAATCTTACCAGGTAAAGCGTCTATTAGTTCCATCATACACAAATCATGTCTCGGATTAAAAAAAAAAAACTGCCCCTCAAACCCCCATGGGTATGCCAGTTTGCTGTTAGATGTACGTGGAATTTACTGCCACATTCACATGAAATGTAAAGCTTCTTCTTGCCATATCCATATGTAGTGCTCCTTCCTGTGGCTTTGAGGTAAAAACAAGCAAGAAGATGAAGGTCGTATACGATTGGAACTCAAATGGACAATTCATGGTAACTAACAACCATCTGTTCATAAGTGTATTTGATATTATTATTTCATTTTACGTCGAGCATGACAAGGCTTCTCAAAGAGTTGATAGTATGCTTGTCGGCGCAAGTTCAGCAAGCAAGTTCTTGGATCATTAAGACAGCACAGTTCCACTGGAGTACAGCCAGCAGAGCAAGAAATTTGGCTTGGGTTCATCACCGTCTTGGACCCCTGGCTTGTGATTGATGAAGAGGATCATTGGTCATGGTTGCCTGTCAAGTAGCAACAAGGTACGTCACAGGCCGCGATCCCTTCTCTTCAGTATGAGTCGGAATAACTCAACCATTTTGTAAGCTGCTTGGTGATCAGAATCATATTGAACCATTTCGACCACTTTGTACACGAGAGCATTGCCGTGCACTTCTTCACCAACATGGTCTTGGATATGGAAGTGTTGTTGGTGTTTACAAGTGTCTGTGTGCACAATTGGCACACCACCACGCTCCGCTAAGCTATACATGGGCAAAAGACGAGTCGAGTTTTACTTGACTCGTTTTGACGAGTTTTTTGTCACAGACGAGTCGAGTCGAGGAAAACTCGCCAAGTTTTTTGTGCCACAAAGCAAACTCGAAACTCGACCATTTTACCAAGTTTTTTCAACACTCGGACGAGTTCAAAGAAAACTCGTCCGAGTCAAGTAAAACTCGACTCGTTGTTAAACACCCCCCTTACCCACCACCCCACGAAACCAGTTTAGTGAAAGGAAATGCCGCACGGATCTAGCGGCGGAATGCTAGGTGCGGGCAGATATGGCGGCGGAATGCTAGGTGCGGACGGATCTAGCGGCGGAATGCTATGTGCGGGCGGATCTGGCGGCAGAATGCTAGGTGCGGGCGGATCTAGCAGCGGAATGCTATGTGCGTTCAGATCTGGCGGCGGAGTGCTAGGTGCGGGCGGATCTAGCGGCGGAATGCTATGTGCAGGCGGATCTGGAGGCGGAATGCTAGGTGCGGCCGGATCTGGCGGCGGAATGCTAGGGGCGGCCGGATCTGGCGGCGGAATGCTAGGTGCGGGCGGATCTAGTGGCGGAATGCTAGGCGCGGGCGGTTCTGGTGGCAAAATGCTTACGAGCCCCAAAAACTTGCGAGTTTTGAAAAAACTTGCTTGGTAGCCGAGTTTTTCACGAGTTTTCTTAACTCGCGAGCAAAACTCGACTCGAGCAACCGAGTTTTTTTTACAAAAAAAAACAAACTTGAAACTCGAGCTTTTCGAGTCCCTCGAACAAGTCGAGGAAAAACTCGACTCGTTTGCCCATGTATACGCTAAGCAGTGTGCACGCTCACAAGTTTCAACTCATTCTCGTGTCCTGCTATGCATTTCCACCACCACTAACATTTTGTAATGTTTATCCCTTCGTGTTGCTTCCGAATGTCCACATATTTTCACGTTTGTGTGAGGCTCAAATCATTGCCCGTTGTTTTCACTTGTTAAAAGGGCTGTTTCTTGCAGCACTGTTTATGTAGTGTGCTGTTTTTCACTAGGAATATTTTCTTGCTGTATTCAATGTTTCTTTCCACCCATAAACCCTTTTGTATGTTGTATCATCAGGATTCTTTACCGCAATTCCCTGAGTGGGTCTATTCCATCTGCCATCGGCAACATGAGAAACCTCTATTGGTTGTGAGTATTATGAAGGGAATAGGAAAGAGAGCCAACATAACCTCGCACAGGTTCAGAAATTAGAGGGCCTGCAATGGCAACACCAAGTCAACTTGATTTGAGAACGAGCATACATGCTAGGCATGACCAATGTACACGCTCACAAGTTTCAACTCATTCTCGTGTCCTGATATGCATTTCCACCACCACTGACGTTTTGTAATGTGTATCCCTTTGTGTTGCTTCTCAATGTCTACATATTTGCATGTTTGTGTGAGGCTCAAATAATTGCCCATTGTTTTCATTCGCTTTTCTTTTTGAAAGGGCTACTTCTTGCACACTGTGCTATATAGTCGATGGTAACGTTTAGCACCTGTTTATCAGGCACCGTTTAGAGTAGGTAGCTTGTATCACAATCATATTTCACCATGTCATGAGTTCTTTAGTCCTTGTTGTTTGATATCAATCCTCCCTCTCCTACTATTCAGTTGATTCATTTGTTATTCTTGATTGAATTTCATGGCACCTTCCCATGTGCTTGGTAACTAGTGTTTCGCCGTATCTTTTTTTAACACATTTGAAGCCCTTTATGTGTAATCTTACCACTCGTAAAACCCTTCGCATGTTTCACCATAAGGTATCTCAACCACAATGCGCTGACTGGGTCCATTCCATCCACCATCGGCAACATGACAAACCTCAGAGACTTGCGAGTAACATCAAGAGATCATAAAGAGAGCCAACATGACCGCTCACATGCTCATAAATATGAGGCCCAGAGCTGGCAGTTAAGAAAACGTCTGGTCTTTGCTCAACTTGACACAACTCCCAACTCGACTTCCACTCAAAGTGACTTGAATCGACTCGACACATGAGCATGTCTGACCCACGTTGTACCTATCCCAGAAAGGGAGAGTCCAGAAAATGCATCTGCATTGAAGAGTAAACAGCTTTGACTTATTCAAACCGTAACCCACATGTGTCCAACGCGACTCATGAGTCGGGTATTGTGGGTCTCGGTCGAACGGGAACAGGATTTTACTGAAGACCAGAACCCAGCAGGATTTATTGTAGTTGTCATAATCTTCCTAACGCGGGGTTGACTAGCTTGATCCTAGGCTTGTTCAAAACGTGGATTCACCCCTTAGTTTATCAGTTTTAAGGGTGAACTGGGGCCTGCCCTTGGCTATGACTAATGAGAGGGGCTGCAATGCAAGCATGAGCAGCCTAACAAGTGGTTTGTGCCTTTATGCACTCTTGCTTTGATACTTCAACATCACTCTTTCCCAGGTTTACGTGAGCATGGTTTTCAGCCATGCCTCAGGACACCGTAAGGAACTCATAATGCATGCAGTGTGTAACACAATGTCGGGTCGCTTGAGCTCATTGAGAGATCTTGCACTGGCTATAGGTTGGAGGTATATATAAAACATAGTGCCGAATTGTGACTTCTTTGGCTTAACCTTCTTCCGCCCAACAAACATCTTATGTTGATTTTGGAATGTGTTTTGCCTGGTTGGGAAATATCTCACATGAAGCAGGTTATGCATCTCATGCTTGACTGGACTCTGTCACGTTGGGTGAACAAAAATCTCTATTGCAACTTAACCATGTTGACCTGGAATAGCCTAATAAGATATGCGTCCCCTGCCACAATCCACGGCTTTTCCATCTCCTCTGACTGTCTCCTAACATCAACCAATCTTTGGTTTATTCCTTTGTGTTTCCATCCCTGTAAAGGTAAAATCTCTTGCATGTATGCACGGTTAGGTATCTTGTTAGCAATGCTTTGACTGTTTCTATTCTGTCTTTTATCTGTTTCCATCCACTACAGTGACGTCAGCCAGAACAACCTCACGGGCCAACTCCCTCCAACAATAGGCAACCTCGAACTTCTCTCAAAGCTGTAAGGCACTTAGCATTGTAGAAATGCTTGAGAAATATGTCGCGTAACCAAAGTGAGGCAAGCGGATACAAGCAAAACATGAACCAATTGACAGAATTCGAAGAGGGCTAGCTTGGAGGCGACTTGGGCTGGTCCAAGTGAAGAAAGTGTTCCCCAATGGACTTGGGGTGCCAAATGGATGCTCAACTCACCCACAGTCGAGATAGGGATGTGGGTAACAAAGTTTGCCAAAGCGCGTTTCCAATGTTGGACTTCGTGGGTCCAGGCTGGAACCGCGAACTCAAGGTTGAGAAACGTGCTTAATTGGGGTACCTAGCTGTTGATAAAATTTACTCGAGGAACACCCTATATCTAATATGACCAAACCTTAATGTCTACACTAATTCTATGTACACAGGGTATATGTAATTAGACATACACAGGATACATGTTAGACACAAACACGAGGGCACGCACCTGCTCGGTGCGCCTCGAACATGTTTTGTTTTTGTGGCTCAACGTGTTCAGGCCGAATATGTTCGTGTTCGTTTCGACATCCCTTTCCGACGAACGCAAATCTGCTCGTTAAAAAAGGTTGATGAAACACACTAATCAAGCTCATTTTTTAGCTCGCCTTTTTTCCCAACCCTCCTTCCACAGCCTAGACTGCAAGCTCCAGCAGCTAGGGTACCTAGACTCTAATGAAATAGTTGTGGTGGAACAAAAATCTACTTGTTTTATTTCCTTCACTCCCAAACGTCCACCAAGTATAGCCACACCAACCTGGATGCCAAAATCCACCATCCAGGATTATGTGTCTTGAAGACTGCTGATATGGCCAACACGAACATGTTCGCCCCAAACATGCTCGTTTTTGGGCAAACATCAAGGTGTTCACCTCCCAAAGGGGAACACCCGAACACCTTCCTCCACCTTCCTCCCTGGAAGTGTTCGGGCGAACACAAACATGTTCGGTACGCTGAACATGTGTGTTCGATGCAAGGCAAACACGTCACCTTCAAGTTCGCCCCGAACATGTTCACTAGCCCAGGATGTGCATATTCAAGCTCAACTTTTCAACATCCGTGCACTAGCCCAGGATGTGTAGAATGGGCTACTATTTATGATATGGGCGGCGGTTTCAGCAAGTTTATATTTCCAGCTGGTTTCTTCCCTAAACGCCCTAAACACAAGGCAAACACAAACATGTTCGCCCTGAACATGCTGGGCCAGAAATAATCAAGTGTTCGCCCTTGTGCTCATGTCTACTTGGCATGGTAAAGTATTACAACGTGTTACCATAAATCTCAAATAGCAACCTCAAAGCGCTTTAGTTAGAGCTGAAACCCATTCCCGATCCATAGTTTGAAAACACTCCATATGCAGCTGCGGTCACATGCTCCGTTCGAGAACCCGTTTCGCATGCAGGAACATATCCTCGACTGCAATCACATGCCCACCTGACTACAGCAGCTGCGTGGTCCCACAGACCAATTCAAGTGCTTTCTGCAGCAAGTGCGGCTCCTTCTGCACCACATGTGACAAGCCACCACCAGGTAAGGCTAACCTTATGCAGGTGGCTCCTACTTTCACAGCCCATTGTTGCTTTGCTCTCATTAGCGCTAAGAGGATGAACAGTGCATAGCCACCTACTTAGCTAGCTTTTCCACTGTCAGGTGCGGTAACAATTACAGCTTCGCTACTCCTCAATATGTGCTTCTGTTGTATGCATCCTCATGGCTTTTACTGAAGAATACGTGTTTCTATCCTTCATTGCCTTCCTTTGCTTCCTCCCCCCATGCAAACTGTGCCTGATGCCACATCCACTTTCACCAAGCCAACCGCCATCCTCATGTTTGATTGCCTTTTCCCTTTCCTCTCTCTGTCTTTCTACCCCATAACTGTACCCTCCCCATCGCCAGTGCCAAACCCCTCTCCACCTCCTCCAACGTCATCTCCCAGTGAGCCTACAGCCTCTCTCTCCCAAACTGGAGGCGGTTTATCCAGCGGAGCCATTGCTGGCATTGCTGCTGCTGGCACTGTGGCTGTCCTCGTGCTGCTGGTGCTGCTGACCTGGCTTCTGTGGAAGCGATACCGCACCAAAGGGGCAGCAGGAGGAGACAATACTAGCACCAATGTGGATGGCAAGAAATCAATCAATAACATTTTGTTTCAAGGTAAGATATTTACGTAGATGCTGAGCCTAGATGAAGCAATAACAAGGCAAACGCCAGGCAATCGAAAGAAAATCAGAGTATCATCAAAATCAGAAGATCATGAAAAAATCCAAGAGTCAAAGCTACAAATGCATGTGCAATTTCTCACCATGGAACATTCCAGGTCCTCCCAGATGTCAAGCCGTCTTCTTGGTTGGGTCTGACTCATGAGTTTTGGGTTAAAGACTCAGAATCACTGGTCCGAACCTTATTTTTGGGTTGCGACGCAAAACCCCACAAAATTGCATGTAATGGCACTGTCTTTTGCCTGCTGCTCTATGCGAAATAGTCATGAGGAAATGAGACAACCAGACTGGCTGATTTTTTTTATTTTTATTTTGCAGAATGTGAATCGCCTAGTCCCAAGTTCGGAATAATGGGTCTGGGTCGAACTGGGCAGGATTGGTTCCAGTTGAACGATCAAAATTTAAGCTGGATATCTGGACTGGGGTTCATTGCCAGGTATCACACAGCCACAGGTATGGTGTTGAGATGGCAGTACAAAAAGTTGGCGAAACTGTTCACCATGGATGTGACTGAATTCACCTTCTTGTAGAAATTCATCCAGCCTTAACCTCGACTTGTCAGGAATCAACGAATGAAGCAATGGTGCTTGCTGGTCCTTCCTGGGTCATTAGCAATCCAGAGTAGGTGGTTTAAATTCCCAGGCCCCTTGAATTATCGGTCTTCTCTTTCACGTTCACCATCTTTTACATCTCTTTGCAGTACCAAATAATGAGGATGAGGACCCAGCAGCAGCGGAAGGGGAGGCCGCAGCAGCTGCAGCAGCTGCCGCAGCAGTGCTACCATTACCAGCAGTACAAGGGATGCAGGGTGACGATTTTGTGGTGGAGATGGAGGCAGCACGGCCATACGTGTGTCGAGAGTACTCTTTGGCAGAGATGTCTAAGGCCACAGGAGATTGGGCAGAGGGGAACAGGATAGGAAGTGGTAGCTTTGGGGATGTTTACAAGGGTGTGTCGCCCCACGATTGCAATCAAGCCTGGGCAGTCAGGCGAGCTCGAGTGCTCACGAACGACTTCCAAAGAGAGGTACCATGGTGTGAGTTTTTGTTGATATGTTAGTGGCACGTTTCTCATTAGTTTCTTCTGCCAACCCCAAGCATAGCTGGTGGTCTGATTATTCAATCTCCTTTGATATGTTTACTGTTTTCCCTCTCAGGTGAAGGAGATGGCAAGCAAGCACCATCCGCATCTTGTGCGTCTATTGGGCTATTGCATCGACTTCGACCTCTCCACACGACTCATGGAGCAGATCCTCGTTTACGAGTTCATGCCCAACCACGACCTTGAGAGCTGGATTGGTTCTGGTGTCTCCCATCCTCTTTCGCTTCGTCAAAGGCTTGACGTTCTGATTGGAGTGGCAAAGGGGTTGCAGTATCTTCATGACTTTGGCATTGTGCATCGCGACATCAAACCTGCCAACATTCTCCTTGATGCAAAGATGCAGGCATGTCAATATTGTTGTAGGCCTTGCTGTACATGGTGAAAGATGCCTACTCGTATCCATCCCTTAGCAACTATCATGTGGTGTTTTGCATCGCCTCGCATGCTCTGAATCTTTCACATCAATGCTCTTGTTGTCCACGGGCAGGCCAAGATTGCAGACTTTGGGCTTGTGAAGCTTGGTGGGGGCACTGCTATGGGCACGTCTGTGGCTGCCACTCGAGTGATGGGAACACCGGGCTATGTGGACCCTGCGTATTTCAAGTCTCATAAGGCCAGTCCAGCAGCAGATGTGCACAGGTGAGCAGATTGGCACAGGTGAGCAGATTGGCACAGGTGAGCAGAGTAGGTTATGCTAGCAAATCCATGCAAGTTATAATGGCATGAGAAAACAGTGAAGGTTAGCAGATGAGCACTTTGGCATGAGAATAGTGTTCAAGGAGGCTTCCAAATTTGATGAGAAATGCTCATGATTTTTGTTTCTTCTAGGGAAGATAGGGTTTGGGTTTCGGGCTTGCAGTGATTTCTATGTTTCCTTTGCCTCACACCCAAAGAAGGTCCATGCCTGACATTGAAGCCATTTCCAGGCGTTCTTACCAATCGAATAGCTTGGTAATGCTTGGTGATGGGGCTTGCGTGACGATCACTTGTGGAATGATTGGGGAAACAAATTTCATTGTGACCATAAAGCTTTTGTACATCTGAGCGTGATTTCAAGTATGATGCCTTTGTTTATTGACGGGTTGCAGTTTTGGCGTGGTGACGCTAGTGGTTATCACGGCGCGCAAGGCTGTCCATGTAACAGAGGAAAACCAGATCAATCTCAAACAATGGGTGAGAGACAGAAGTGTATCATGCCAAGGATGGCAGATCTTGTAACACAACGTATGAGAAAGCCAGCTGCACTGCGTAGTGAGTTTGCTTGATAATATCAATGTTTCCTTGTTGCCCTTAGCCAAACATATGTAGGCCAATTCATGTTCTCCTTACCTCCATTCCCAACAGGATACATGCTGCAATGATTAAGACGAGCACTTACCTTTGAATCACACCTTGTATCTGTAATAGGATTCACCTTCCTATCATCCTGCTTTCTATGTAGCACTAATTTCCTATGATCATACATCATTCCATCAATCTCTGAGTTGCCACATTTCTACCATTCTTCACAGTTTTTATTTTAATGTGAACCTCTGTGAACATTTTGTATCACCGAATTCCATGTGATGTATGCATTTAACCTCGCAGGTGGCCCCGTTGGTGGACTCCGGTGCTGTATTGGCATTCAAGGACCCTCACTTGGACGCACCAGATGACTTGGTGCTGCGCTGGGCTCGCCTTGCCCTCTCCTGCACCGCCATGCCTGCAGCCTCCCGCCCCTCCATGAATCAAGTGCTTTGGGAGCTGGTGAAGTTGAAGCAGGAGGCGTCCGGAGCACATGAGGGTCATGTGGGCGAGGCCAAATCTCGCATTGACATGGAGCTTGGGAGCTCCATTGGCTCCTCCAGCTTCACTGCTGAAATGGCCCGTGCGGAGCGCGAGGGGGGCATGCCAAGTGGCTCTTCCACGTAATCAAGTTTGTTTTCACATGTAGCTTACTGGTTTACCTTGTGCTTCTGATGCCAATTGTTTGCTTCAAATGAAAACATGGTATGGGACACTTAGGAACACTGACAGAGGCTGTGGAAGGGATACTGGTAGCATCTTTTGATGAGCACAAAAATGGGACAGGAAAATTGGGCTGTGTAGTACACTGTAGCTTTGGCTTGTCCATGGGCCAGATTTTATGCTTGTCACCTTCTTCCCGAAACTTTTAGCTGTTGCATGCATGATTTTCTGGATTGTGAATTAGATTCACGTACAGGGTTGTTTTGGGGTTTTTAGACAGAATATGGCTCTTCAAACATCAAGCTTGAAAAGCTAAACATTCCTCTGTATATCCCCTATCCCTCTCCCCACTCACATGCCGCCTCTCCTCTCACACCAGCACTCCTTTCATACCCACCACTCCTCTCATACCCACCACTCCTCTCATACCCACCACTTCTCTCACACCCCCCTATCCACTCTTACCCCCCACCCATACCATTCCCCAACCCCAACTCGTACCGTCATCGCCCGGATAGTAGACATATGTCTTATCTCGTACACGGGCAAAAGTGCTGGGGTTGTCTTGTATTTGGGACGATTTAGGGTGTCTTATAACTCTTATAAATGGAGAAAGAACTGTTTAGAAGATACCCCCTCGCTATAAGAATGCCCCTAACCTCTACACTGGCTTAACGCGTACACACAAATAGGTGTCTTATAATGAGGCGAGCTTGTTTATAAGAGACACCCAGATAATAGACAACCCCTGTCTACTATTCAACACTGTCTACTTACCGGGCAATGACGGTATTATACTCCCCACTCCTCTCATAAACTCCCTCCTTTCGTAAACCCCACTTCTGTCATGCCTCTATATTCCTCTCATGCCCCTAAACTCCTACCATTCCCCCTCTGTTACTCCTCACTCCTCTTATACCCCCCACTCCTCTCATACCAGCCTCCTCTTGAATCCCCCACTCCTCACACATCCCCTCTTTTCATAACCTTCACTCCTTTCAAACCTCCACTCCTCTGATAAACCCGGTTCCTCTCATACCCCTCACTCCTCTCATACCCACCATACCTCTATGCCCCCCATTCCTCTCATACACCCCACTCACCTCATAACCACCACCATTCTATTACCAGCCATGCCTCGCATACCCCCCTCTCCACCCATCTCCCCACTCCTCCCATACCCCCAATTCCTCTCATGTCCCCAACTCCGTTTACACACCCCAATTATGTCATAGACCCACCCCACTCCTCTCATACCCCCCACTCTTCCCAATCATTTTATTCCAAGTAGTCGCAGTTTCTTATGGTCTTGCTTCCTATGCATGCGCTCCTGCATTGAGCCTTTGGACTCTTGCACCATTGTCTCGTCCACTCCCTCCATGCACAGTGGATATTTTGGATTTGAAGAACCTGTGCAAGAGCAAGATGCTTGCGCTAGACTTCTAGTGCTGTTTAGAAATTATAAAGCCTGTTCATAAAAAGTGCTACCGTACCGACCATAAGCTTGATAGATATTTGTGAATTGTGCATAGAAAAATGGTGTCTTTGATTACATCTCCTAGCCTGATTTGTCACTGACTGTGCTCACACGTGTGACATCTTCCAAGCTAACCAATTTGTAACATTTCTGATTAATTACTCTCTATTCTAGATGAAAACACATCATTCAAGCAAGGCACTGCAGATGGTTGTGAACCATTTTAATTTGGAACAGTGCAAGTTACTGTGTTATGGAATGGATGGAGCACGCACAGTCCAAGGTTAATGAAATCTTTATTGATACAATTTGTAGTTTGAACCATAATGTATCCTTGCAGCTTGACTACGAACTCAGCCTTCAACCGCCAAGAAATCATGAACGTACGTTTATCATGGCAGGAAAAAAGGCAGGGAGGTGAGGAATCTGAATGCTAAGAAGTAGGGCACACTTTCTAATAATGTACCTAACCTCTCATGAGAGCCAGTTCAGCATCAAGAGTCCCCTGCTCATTGTTCTGGGTGCCAATCTTGGCCTTGTGGCTGCTAAATATGGCTTGTTGGGGCTAAAGCGCCAATGGTACGTAGGTCAGTTGGTTGCTGACGGTAGGGTGGGGGAGGACAAAGGGTAGTGTGGGAGATTGTGGGTATCTCCTGTTTGTGGAAGGCATGGCCCTGCATCATACCTGCACCCACGACTGGCCTCAGACTGACATGAGGCTGACATGAGACTAACCAGAAACTGACCAAAAGACTGACCCGTGTTTGACCTTAGACTGACCTGAATTTGACCTAAGACCAACCTAAAACTGATACGAGACTGACCTGAAATTGACCTGAAATTGACCTGAGTTTGACCTGAGAGTGACCTGAGAGTGACCTGAGAGTGGCCTGAAAGTGATATGAGACTCTCATTATGAGAGTTTCTAGAGCGATCTGAGTGTGACCTGAAAGTGACCTACGACTGACACAAAACCTTCTCCCCCCATGTACTTGACTGGCGAAGCTAAAGAGGGCATTGAACACAAAGGGCGTGCTACACGGGCCAGGGTTGTCGATGAAAAGGAAGAGGCAGATGGGCGCTGCACTGTGCTGCTCCTGACGTGTTGCTGGTGGGGGGCGTGAGGATGATGGTGCCATTGAATGGTTGCGCTGCTGCACCTGCCAGGGAGACTGCTGTTGTCTGTGATGATTTGGTTGAAGGGAGAATTGCAGGGTTATCCAGAGCGAGGCAAGGCAGATGGGTGCAAACGGAACGGAAGAACTATGCTTGGATGTAAATAAATCAACACCAGGAGTTCGAGAGGTTTCAACTGCGATGCAGCTTAATGGTAACAATTACGAGGAATAAGCAGGGTATGCAACGCAATCAAACGGCACAACAAGAGAGTGCCATCTGCTTCTTACACCAGATCACTCAGCCTCTCCCAAAACTTGTGTATACACACAACTGTAGGAGCACGAGGGCAGTCCGGCCTGGTTGTCGAAGTTGCTATCGCAGGTGTATACTGATTCCTGCACAGACTCACTGAAGGAGCACATGACATGCCCGCTGCACAGGGGTTGGCAATCCCCAGCAGAAACCCCACAGAACGCACCACACTCCTCTGCACTCCTCTGCTCCAAGTAGTCTCCAGGCGCCCGGGATGCGTTGAGCAGACAATGCTCAAAGGCGTTGCCAAGGTAGGTGTGGTTGGCCTCGGGCGGGATGATGGTCCCGTGGAAGAAGAAGTTGCGGTGGGTGTAGGGTAGGTAGGGCGGGAACTGGTTGGCTGCAGGTAGGGTGACAGGGGCAATGGCAGTCACCCTGTCACTGGTTGGCTGACATGTCACTGTAAAAAAGGGGGGGCGAGGGCAGGGAGAGCCAAGGCGAGGAGTGGGTGGGAAAATGGCGCATGAGCGGGGGTGTGACAAGAGTGGGTGAGAAGTGAACACGCACAGGGTGGTGCAGAGGAAAGATGCAGTGTTCTGTTGGAAGAATGTGTTTGATGCTGGTCAGCAGTTACCAGCGCGCAAGCAGATGAGCCTTGAACATACAGATAAACCATCGGACCAAAGGAAGGGGCTTGGTGTAAACCATCGGACCAAAGGAAGGGGCTTGGTGTAAACCATCGGACCAAAGGAAGGGGCTTGGTGTAAACCATCGGACCAAAGGAAGGGGCTTGGTGTAAACCATCGGACCAAAGGAAGGGGCTTGGTGTAAACCATCGGACCAAAGGAAGGGGCTTGGTGTAAACCATCGGACCAAAGGAAGGGGCTTGGTGTAAACCATCGGACCAAAGGAAGGGGCTTGGTGTAAACCATCGGACCAAAGGAAGGGGCTTGGTGTAAACCATCGGACCAAAGGAAGGGGCTTGGTGTAAACCATCGGACCAAAGGAAGGGGCTTGGTGTAAACCATCGGACCAAAGGAAGGGGCTTGGTGTAAACCATTGGACCAAAGGAAGGGGCTTGGTGTAAACCATCGGACCAAAGGAAGGGGCTTGGTGTAACAAGCATTTTCAGTCCTATCTGTAGTCCTCCTTCCCAATCCAATGCTCTCTTAGAATGGGCTCTTTCAGGACCCCCTCAACACACCAAGGCAAGTAACAAATGGCACATGGCCCATTAGCACATGGGACCTGGGACATGGCAAATAGCACATGGTGCATGCCATATGCGATTCCCCCCATGCACGTGCAGCGTGACAAGGCTGGTCATATTGCGTGTGATGCCGTACACATCGCCAGAGAGGACGTTCCTGTTCAGGTAGCTGGAAGAAAGCACATCCGAAGACAACTCGTGAACGCGGCGTGCATGGCATGGCAGCACTTGGACTCCCATCTAGCAGGGTTGAGTGCGCTTCCTAAGGCCCTCAGCGGAGGTAGCATGGAGTGCTGTTGTTGCATGCAGTTGCGTTGCATTCAAGCATGATTTCAACTACATGTCAAGGTTGGTAACTTGGATAAGTGTGATTGGACCAGACGCCAAGGGACACTGGATACAACAGCAAGCAGCCAGGGTGCACACACAAAAAGCCCAATTTCTGAAGGAGAATGATCTGGGGACCGTGCCCCTTAGCCCCACACCCTCCAGCTACCTGATCCCACAGCGTGGAAGACGTCGTGTGCACACGTGATACATCACAGACTATGATGATGGAACGATAAGGGAGTCCTTGAGTGAATGAGAGAGAGCGCATTCTATTGTAGTCTGCATATATGTCATTAACACGCAATGTCTCAGTACCTTTCTGATGACTCTTGTCCTCAAAGCTACTGACATAGACTGATGCAAATCCAAGGAGACTCAGAATCATACGTGCACAGGAGGTTGCACCAGCAACACACCAGGCAAGCAAGGCAAACACCAAGAGAGAAGCTACAGGGATGGGTTATGGTTGGCGAGATGTCAAGGTGACTCAGGGTTCCAATAGAGGGGCTAGGTTCCACCAATGTTTGACCGTGCCAGCTCCCTGTAAATACATGGCTTGATTAAACACTAGGTTGGGGATAAGAAAGGAGAGCATGATTTCAGCATGCTACACGTGTCTCCTATCGTGATGTGATAGGCCTGACAAGTAGCACGAGCGCTACAAACATCAGAGCGGACAAATGAGAGAGCTACGAGATAGTGGGTTTCGGCGAAATCCATTATCATAAACCACTGCCTCTGTCCTTAGGGCAGTGTCCTTATGAAGCAAGGGCCAAAACGGGGGAGTGGAGGTCTGTAGACTAAAATCTCGTTCTGGATCCATACACTATGTTTCGGCTGTACCCTGTGTACAGAATGAATCACTCACAAGCATAAAAAATTGTCTATGATTGTATGTTGAACCCTAAAGCTATAATGATTGGTGTCAAGCGTCTATTCGAGACATTAGTAAGGCTGGAGTACGGTTGGGAAAGAGGAATTTTCGGTGGAGCGGTGATTAGCCCAGAGATTGAAAAGAACACCGCACGTGCTCTCACAACTTGTGAGTCACAGTTCCACGAGCAGATTCTTGGCCCCATGCAGTGACAGAATGAACGGCGTACATACCGTACTCATGGTGACTGCATACATGCTCATGATGACTACATACATGCTCATGATGACTGCATACATGCTCATGATGACTGCATACATGCTCATGATGACTGCATGCATGCTCATGATGTCTGCATACATGCTCATCAGTGTGGGTAGGGTGGAGTTCTAATCAGGAATGGCGCCAGGGAAGTTGTTATTGTGCAGGTCGCTGCACGGCAGAGCACAGGATAGAGACAAATTCTTTTCAGTTGGCTAAAAAGCACCGAGCTTGTAGTCGACTCTAAGGCAGAGCAGGGGAACAGAGGCAGTTGCATCGATCCATTTTAATCAATCTGACTTCTTTCAAGAGCTCGAGAAACATCCACATGGCCTAGGCGCGTAAGTTATATTGTTGAGGGCTGCAGCGTCACTTTATCAGACTCAAGGAGGCATTGCAACATCGTTATCTTGACAGGAGCGGAGCTTCACTGCCTTGCATGCAGCAAGGCGAGGAGGACAGTCAGAGCAGGGCATGGCAAAAGGAGAGCCGCATGGCGCTGTGAGTGAACAAATAACACGTGCAGATGCAACAGCAGGGTGGGCGAGGCAGTGGGGTGGCTGACAGGATATCGAGGGTGGAGATGGTGCTGAGGGCAGACTGCTGTCCACAGTGAACCCGTTGACCGAAAAGCTCCTGCACATGGTTACAGGGAATGGAATGGACCACTGGCCATGCGTTATGTGCCCCACTGAGCTCTACGGACAACGAGATACACATGCATGGGATAGCCTTGGTAAAAGCAGAACTCAATATTCTTGCATGGTGCAGTGCTGAGTGCTAACGCACAAGAATGCATGCATGCACACAACGCCCTGTACATAGTCCGCGCTGCACCACAGCAATCCCCCTCCCATTCGTCTTTCAATATCTATCTGTTAGAATGTTGCATATGCTAGTTAATACTACTGTAAGTGATACACCCAATGTGGTACACTTTGGCTCAAGTAGCCCCAACTGATTTAGGTTGAGTGCTTCCCAACATTTTTGGACCGTATTTGTTGGGGGATCCCAAATAATGACTGGGCCATCCAATCAATTATTGCCCCCCCCCCATCCCCCAATAATGTTGGCCAACCATTGCATGGTCAACCAAATTGACCCACCAATGATGGTGTGGGCACTCATCCAATCTGCCCACCGTTTCCTTTCCTATGTTAACCTATCTCTCATTTATCACAATCATAACTTGAGACTCTTTCACTCTGCACACGCAGTGGCCCCATGCCAGTACACCCGCAACCACTAACCCTCTACCCTCTTCGACCCAGTGACACCCCTCAGCAATTGAGCCTGCCCAGATCTCTCAGTGCAGTGGATATATTACAGTGTGGCGAGTTGGTTGAGGTGCGACAGATAAGGGACTCAGGCACGGATCAGCTCAGCCAGTTCTGCGCAGATCACTCACATCAGGTTGGTCAACAAGCTGATCAACTCAGCCGGTTCCTCCAGAGGACAGATGGTCAAGAAGGGATCCGAGAAAGGGAGAGAGCATGGGACTACCTGGCATGTGACGCAAACTCATGCAATGAAACAGGGACAGAGCCAAGGAGTTGTGGGATGGATAAGGTAGGAGGGGTAAGGGTGGTACTGACAGGTAGGTGACACTGAAGGAGGTTGCTCATGTCATTTGGAGATGTTCAGATGATTCACTCTCGGCTTGCTGCATGTGTGGCGCACACATGGAGAAACATGGGGATGGATGGGATACACGAAATGGGGTTGGATGGGGTTGGACGTATAAGGTTGGGGCAAGGAAAATGAACGATTAGGAGAGGGAGAGGGAGGGGAGACGTGGAAGGACTACAGATGGGGCAATGTACTGAGGTGAGGAGAGGGATGCCTGGGACGTTGATGGTGCGTCCCATCTGCCGCACTGCACGCACGCACATGCGCTGGAGCAGCACTCACATGCGCTGGAGCAGCACTCACATGCGCTGGAGTAGCACTCACATGTGCTGGAGCAGCACTCACATGCGCTGGAGCAGCATTCACATGCGCTGGAGTAGCACTCACATCCGCTGGAGCAGCACTCACATGCGCTGGAGCAGCACTCACATGCGCTGGAGCAGCACTCACATGCGCTGGAGCAGCACTCACATGCGCTGGAGCAGCACTCACATGCGCTGGAGCAGCACTCACATGCGCTGGAGCAGCACTCACATGCGCTGGAGCAGTACTCACATGCGCTGGAGCAGCACTCACATGCGCTGGAGCAGCATTCACATGCGCTGGAGTAGCACTCACATGCGCTGGAGCAGCACTCACATGCGCTGGAGCAGCACTCACATGCGCTGGAGCAGCACTCACATGCGCTGGAGCAGCACTCACATGCCTCACGTACCAGTGAGACAACGTTGCGTTGCCTTGCCATGAGCGTCGCATGTGACGCCCTGCACGGTTGAGCAGTTACTGCTGCCCGACCACGCCTGCCAGCCGCCCCCAAGCTGCCCCCATGCCGCCAGCGCCTGCGGAACAGCTTGACTGCCAGCGAAGGCCGGAGAGGGTTGGACGCAGGGGGTGCAGCCGCGGGCTCACGGAGGTCAGCGGGCACGGTGGAGTGTGGGGGGAGGGAATCCACATGGGGAGGGGCATGGGGGCACGCAGGGACCGGAAGAGGGTTGTGCGACAGATGAGTGAGGGTTGTTGGGAGAGGGGATGAGAAGAGGGAGTGGAGGGAGGAAAGGGAGGGAAAGGAGGGAAAGGAGGGAAGGCGGGGTGATAACAGGGTAGTAGCATAGGAAGGGGGGCATGGAGAGGCAAATAGGGGGCATGGAGAGGCAAAGAGGGGGCAGGGAGAGGCAGAACAAGGATGTTAAGGGTGAGTTGTGCGTTCAGGAGAGCGATTGACCGTTGCAGGACACGCGAAACAGCTAGAGCGCTTCTGAGGAACGCGGTGAAAGAGAGTCACAGTGGCATTGGCGAATCTTGGCATGGAAAATCTCACACCACCCCTGCATGCCGCCGCCCCACCGCCCCATACCTTCCCATTCCGTTGCATCACCCCATACCACCCCATTCCCATACCACTCCATGCTGCCTCACCACCCGCTAGGGCGCACTCACAGCCTGCCGCCTGTATTTGCCACCCCGCCGCCAGCGTGCAGCGCGAGCAGAAGCAGGTGAGCAGCAGCAGTGGGAGCATGGCGGGGCAGGAGATGGGTCTGCGCTTGGTAAGAGCGGCAGGGGGGAACGATAGGGAAGGGGGAGGGGAGTTAATGAAACCGGGAGAGGGGAGGGGAAGGCAGAAGCGAGGCAGAGGGAGAGCGCTAGGATGCAGGAGAGAGTGAGCACCCCCACTCCCCATGACACCACCCCCATTCCCCCCACCTCCTTTTCATTTCCTTCCCCCCTCGTAGCACATACCTGTCAGGGCTTTATTCTTTGCTTGGGTTGGCTTATGCGTTCTTACCTTGGTTCTTTACCATTGACTTTGCTGTACCACTTGTATTCAATGACAATGACAGTTCGACAGTTGGGGGGGTGTCCATAGGGGGGTTGACTCAGTTGCACTGAGCGACGATACACTGCGCACCAATACACTGCGCAACGATACACTGCGCAACGATACACTGTGCAACGATACACTGCACAACGATACACTCCGCAGCGATACACTGTGCAACGATACACTGTGCAACGATACACTGCGCAACAATACACTGTGCAATGATACACTGCGCAACAATACATTGCGCAACGATACACTGCGCAACGCTACACTGCGCAACGATACACTGCGCAACGATACACTGCGCAACGATACACTGCACAACGATACACTGCGCAACGATACACAGCGCAACGATACACAGAGCGACGATACACAGCGCACGATACACAGCGCAACAATACAATACGCAACGATACACTGCGCAACGATACACAGCGCAACGATACACAGCGCAACGATACACTGCGCAACGATACACATCGCATCGATAGACAGCGCAACGATACACAGCGCAACGATACACAGCGCAACGATACACAGCGCAACGATACACTGCGCAACGATACACAGCGCAATGGTACACAGCGCAACGGTACACAGCGCAACGATGCACAGCGCAACGATACACAGCGCAACGATACACAGCGCAACGATACACAGCGCAACGATACACAGCGCAACGATACACAGCGCAACGATACACAGCGCAATGATACACAGCGCAACGATACACAGCGCGAAGATGCACAAAGCAACGATGCGCTCCCCAAGCGATAAGGTACAAGCACATACGCGGCACGTCCGTAAAGGCAGCCTCACGGCACTTAGCTCTCACACCGACGCAGCCCCTCTAGGCATCGCGTGCTGTCAGGTCCGCAGTGCGCCTTGCGTGGGGGTATGAGCTCTCTCGCGCTCGCTGTCATGCCAGTGGGAACGCCCGCCCACCTCAGCTTCAGCGACGCCGCTACGCGTGAAACGCCGCTGCGTGCTCGTCGTACCAACTGCCACCACAGCAGGACATGGCAAGCACGCAGCCGAGCCGCGCTACTACGATCATCCGCTTTTGCATCCAGGAGCCAAACTAAACCACGGGTTTGGCCCCGCCATATGCCACGCCATCAGGTCTCGGTGACTCAAGGAGCCTACAGCCACCTGACCGCGTGAAGCCACGGCCCCCAGTCGCGCCTTAGCACTAGACGCGCGCGCGGCCTGTAATGCGAGTAACACCGCTCGTACTTCTAGGCAAAAGCGCGGAGAGCATGCAGGGAGCGCATTCTCAAGAAAATGCACGCGGTGCAAGTGCGACTCACCGTCGCCTGAGCGGATGGCGGCGCGACATGGTGAAACGGGGGCGTGGCTTTCGGAATGAGCGTGACATATCGAAATGGCCATGACAACTCGAAAATGGTGGCGAGACAAGGCGAACTCTTAGGATCGTAAGCACCTTAGTCGGCAATAGTCTACTTGCTATCGCCTATCGTGTTCTCCAAGATCTCCCGAATCCAATGATATGCGCAGCTCTGCTTGAAGTTGTCAATCAGCAATTTTCAGAATCTGATTGGTATGATTTCCAGAATGAGTACAAGCAGTTTTATAGTCAGGCAAGACACAAAATGCGATTCGTAACTTCACTTGTTTCTCAAGTAACCGCGTGCGCCTCGTCTCACCCCGAGTCGCACACACAACCGAACCGAATTCGATGAACACTCCTCAAGACCGAATCTGGAACCTTCTCGAACGCGCCTTGGTCTCGAAGCACATTTTTCCCCTCGTCAATCTCATTCTCGATGCTTCTCACAAAATCTGATTGGTCTCACAGCTTCAGCTTACTCGGCAATCAGAGTCTCGTTGAACTTCAGTCAGGGACTGAGAGAGCGTATAACCGGCCGTTTCCGTTCCAGTGAAACCGACAGATCTGAATTAGCGAGTTTCTACTTCAACTGGAAACTAGCAACTTGATTTGAATCCTGCATCTCCCGTCATGGGCTTTTGGCGAGATCAATTTCGGCGAGTCCGCAGGATGCGTCGCGTCACGAATGACTCGTCCATTTGGTACCAATAGCTTTGGAATCTAAGACGAACGGAGCACAGGTAGGTGTCTCTTACTGATGCTCCTGAGGAACTTCTGTTCTCGGTTTGCAACCGACTGTTTCAGTCCCACCTGCACTACTGCTGCCTGCCATGCGAGACGTCAGCAGCATTTAGGCCATGATGAAGCGGCAGAGCAAACTTTCACAAATTTGGAGCAACAGGCTCGTTCGTGACTCTTGAGCAGCAAGTTTGCCATTTTCTGGCTTGATAATTGAGCAAATCAAGCTCATTGCAGGTACAACCAGCAACGAGTCCGCACTGGAAAAAGTGCATGGGTAAGGGCGAGACGAAATCTGATCCGTTCAGGGAAGCTCCTGGTGTTGAATCAACTACTGGTGTGCGTCGTCCTTCGTTCCCTCTCACTTCGTTTGTTGGTTATTTCACTCAACTGGATTCCATCATGCCTAGTACCAAGGAAGACGAGAGGCACAAGCCAATGAGAGGAGCCCCGACAGGAACTGGCGGAGCAGAGCTGAATTCCAGTGATTCTGATGCTGGCAGTAGCAAGGCCAAGGAAGAGGGGAAGGTAGGCGCTGCCAAACATGAGCAGCGGTTAGAGCTTCAAAATTTGGAAGAGTGGCTGGATGCCTTGCTGGGGGCAGGACAGTACCAGCAGGGTGGACAAGGTCAATTCACTGCCGCAAACAGAGGGGAAGCAGAGAAGGCGGTAGAGGAAGAAGACAAGATTATGACGCGAAAGAAGCACGCTTGTTGCAGTTCACTGTGAAATTGGGGATGAGAAATCCTGGGGTGTTGCAAAGCGCACACGGTATGCAGTTTAGAATGACCCGGATGGAGCGGGACAGCCCACCGGGGCAACCGGAGGAGCAGCATGGAAAGCTAGTGGAGGAACGTTCAAAGCCACTTCAGCTGGTGTCTAGGCTGGACATGGTTCACTACTTGAATGTGACGGGCAGGTGGGATGAGGATCTGCGTGAATGCTGCTTTGAGCGTGCAGTGAGCCAGCGAGCTCTTGCCATAAAGAACCTGGAGGACTTGCGTCGCCACCTGCGCGTGCAGCAGCCTCGTTGCATCCCCGCAGCAGACCCCAAGCAGCAGCAGCATCATGCAATGTCTCCTCAGGTGCTATTTGTGTGGAAGCCCGAGAGGGCGCCTCGCCTTTGCGCAGAACGGATGTTTCTCGAGTGGATGGCTGAGCCTTGTGTGGGTGTGCTCATGAACCTGCAGAAGATCAGATCTCGTCTGCCTGCTATCCTGGATGCAAAAGCTGCTTCAGCTGCCCCTGTTGCTGCCCCTGTTGCTGCCCTTGCTGCTGCCCCTGCTCTTCCTGCTGCTCCTCCTGCCCCTGCTGCTGCCCCTGCTGTTCCTGCTGCTCCTCCTGCCCCTGCTGCTGCCCCTGCTGTTCCTGCTGCTCCTCCTGCTCCTGCTGCTTCTCCAGTGTGGTCCTGCTGCTGGCGCTGCAGCGGCTGCTGGGCTGCCTACCGCCGTGCTGTCAATGTCTCAACGTTCCTTGTGCTTGTAGCGAGATCCCCTCACCTTGTGACTCTGTGGAAAGCTCACTTGGTCTCGTCTTCGTCTGCCTAGCCAGCAATTGTCACTGAGCTGGGGGGGAGCAGGCAGGGGGAGATTGACAATTTTGCGTCCATGCTGGTGCAGGTGCTGGGGGTGAAGGAGAGTGCTGATCTAAAGGAAGGGTTTGGGTTCTTTGTGCAGCAACTGCTGTCAGGCGGGCTGGAGATGGCGCATGCACAGGGGAGGGGGAGAGGTGGGGGCAAGGCTGCTGAGAAGGTGCATGGGAAGGGGAAGGGGATGAGGTTGGCTGAGGAGAAGGCTGTCGAGAAGACGTATGGGGGGGCGAAGGGCATGTGCGAGGCTTCACATAGGAGGGAGGATGGGAGACATGGAGAGGAAGAGGCAGGAAGCAAGGTAGAGATGGATGGGGTTGTTGGCGTGTGGGGGAGGGCACGAAAGGACGTGAAGTGGAGGGCGCATCTGAAGGGACGTGTGTGGGAGAGGTATGTGGATGGCATGAAGTGGATTCTAGAACATGGTGGGGGGGAAGGGAGGGAGTTCTGGTGCAGCCACTGCAGTGAGGACAGCAGCAGCAGCATCAGCAGTTCTGGCAGTAGCAGTTGGAGAAGCAGTGCTCCGAAGGGTATGCATGTGAGTGGTGTAAATGCGACCGATTTTGCCCTTGCTGTCACCACAGTGTTATTTAAACCAGAGCACTGGATGGATGCATGGTTGTTCTTCCATGATGGGAACAATTTGAACAAGATGAAGGTAGAAAATGCAGTTGTTGAGGTGGCCAGGAAGAGGCTGCTGCATTGCTTGAAGCAGACAAAGGGGATGGATGGAGAAGAAGGGGCAGATGCAGGAGCGGCCCTGCCTGGTGCAAACTCTAGACTTGTGCCTGTCAATACAAAGCCGGTGGTTGCTGCACTCACCTATCGAGTTGGTTGCATCTTGCAGTGGATCCGGGTCTACGGCTCAGATTCCATCTCAGAGAAACAGTGCTTCATAAACGACCCTCAGAGCAAGGTCAGGTCCATGCGCCATCCGCTTCGGGGCCTTCCTAGCCTTCTGGTCAGGTTCGACGCCATCCCGAAGCCTCTAGAGGGAAGCAGCATTGCTTTGGAGTAGGAGGAGTGGCCTGCAGGCGAGGAAGCTGCTGTGAAGTTTCCTGTGAACCAAAAGGAGAGGTGAAGCAGCTGAGAAGCTGATTGGGCATCTTGTAGAAGGCCAAGGAGGTAGTCAGGAAGGAGAATGGAGCATGGCGCGTGGGATAGCTGAAGCAGGAGGGGGCAGTAGGAGTGCAAGGAGGAGAGTTTCCAAGTCAATAGAGCGAGGAGCTTGGGAGGAATCCATACAGAGCAGAGCGCGTGGAAGAGCCGAAGCATCTGGGAACGACGAGCAGAGAGTAACACTTCCACCCCCAAGAAGGAAGCTTCCTATTGTTCGCTGCGAGGCAGATGTGGACTTCCTGGTGGGGTTTGCCGGGTATGTCATGCACCCTCCTGCATGCACCCAGTGCAGCACCTGCTCTGCGGAATTCATGCAATCCGTGTGCATAGTCGCTCTCATTGTCAACTTCGCTTACCGCCCCGTTAGCCATCTGCTCTCCCGCGTGCTCTCCGTCTTCCCTCCCTCCTCCCCTGGCTTCGACAAGCTGGTTGAGTGTCTGGACCTCCCTGCACGCCTGCCCAGGCCTGTGAACCTGCAGATGCTGCTGAGACAAGCGGAGCAGGTGCCTCTGTACTTCCTCATTCACATGGCCGTGTGGTGCGCTCGTCCTCTTCTGAATCTTGATTGTTCTGAGGGAGGGTACAATGAGAAAGGGCAGGGAGTGAAGTCAGGTGCACGAAAGAAAGAAGTGGCGGAAATGGGAAAAGGTGGCAGGGTGAAATTGCAAGGCTGTTGGGATGGTGAGATGGATCAGCCGAATGGTGGAGAGGTGTGGGAAGAGGTGGAAATATGGTACTTTGCAACAATGAAGAAATGGATGTCGAAGTTGAGGGTTGAGGGAGGGAGTGAGGAGTGCAGCGGCAGCAGAGAGCTGGAGAGGCCTACAGGGGGGTTCGACATCACGTGGGCTCTTGCTGCGGCAATCATCCCGAGATGCTGTGAGGGGTTGCAGGGCCAGCAAAGGTCTGCCATGGGGAGCAGCAACAAGGGTAGCAGCAGCAGCGGCGGCTGTGAGAAGAAGGGCAAAATGGGGAGGAGCCGGGGTATCTGAAGGCGTGGCCGGGGGGAGTGAATCTGGTGGCATGTCTGTGAGAGATGCTGCTGGGGGAGCCGTGCTACTGCTCTGCCTCCCCTGCTGCCCCTGCCTCCCCTGCTGCCCCTTCCGTCCATCCTGCTTCCACCCATCCTGCTGCTTCCACCCATCCTGCTGCCTCCACCCATCCTGCTGCTTCCACCCATTCTGCAATTAGCATCCGTGCTGCATATGCTGCTACCGCTGCTGCTGCTTCAGGTGTCCACGGCTGTGTGTGCGGTGCTGCGGGATGTGGGACGGTGGAGGGTGGCGGAGTGAAGATGAGGAGGTGCGGTGGGTGTGGCAAGGTGGTGTATTGCAGCAAAGATTGCCAAAAGGTGTACTGGCCCTCCCACAAGCTCACATGCCCCGGCAGAACCAGTGGGAAGAAGAGTGGGAAGGATGGGAGCGGGGTTGGGAGCAACGATGGTCGCATGAAAATCGGCAAGAAGAGTGATTGTGAGGGTTGCGGTGAGAGTGGTGGTAAGGAAATATGCGGGCGGGTTGAAAAGATGATTGGCGAGGTAAGTTGCATAGGCAGGTGCAAGGACAGTGCTAGGCATGTGTGTGAAAGGGTCAGTGAGGAAAGCTTGAAAAATAAGGAAGAGCGAAGGAAGGTGGAGGCGGAGAGGAGGGGAGGGAAGTGTTGGGCTGAGTGCCCCTTAGGATCTTTGGTAGGGCTAAACTCTGGGTAGAGTGATGTAATAGCGGAAGCATTTGAATGAAGTCCTTGAACCACCTTGCGCTGGTATGTGAGGGCAAAGTAAGTTTAATTAAAACAAGTAAGTACAAAGGTTTATATAAGAGTACAAGGAATACGAAGAGATATAATTCAAACTGTTTTACTGTTTGCTGTTGCGGTTCGATACACTGCGACTCGGGCAACTGCTCAATATCGAGTCAGCTGTGTGTCCTTGCTGTCGCGCTGCATTTGTCAGGTCAAAGGTCAGCGACCTTTGACTTTCGCGTAACCTCTGACGGTTGTTTCAACCTCCAAGGGTTGACTCGCTGATGCCTCGATATGCTTTGCTTCGTTTGTGTCTTGGTGTTTCGACACGACAGGAGCGCTCAAGACTGATTGTTTCCAACACTCCCCTTCGCTTCTGGAGTGTTGCTGACGTGGCTCTGTCCAGTCAGCAGCATGCAACATTCGAACTTCTGCTTTCCGAGCTTCTTGGTCAAATAATCGGCTGCCATCTCGGACGTGGGACAGAAGGATAATTCAAGTCTCCCCTTCTCGATCTCGTCTTTCACGAAGAAATACCGAAGGGCGATGTGCTCCGTTCTGTTCGCGAATCCGTTTTTGTTGGCGATGCGAATTGTAGATTGGTTGTCGCAGAACAGGGTGAAGCTGGGTAACTGAGCCAGCTTCGCTTCTTCCAGTAGTTCGCGAAGGTAGAGTCCCTCCTTGGTGGCTGAGTAGAGTGCAATATATTCTGCTTCAGCTGACGAGAGAGCGATAAATTTCTGCTTGCTCGACTGCCGGGATATACGTCCGATGGGTTCGAGACGGTAGATGTAGCCAGTGCGGGAGCGTCTATTGTCGGGATCACTAGCGTGATTGGCGTCGACGTAGCCGATTAACTTAGGCGGTGTAGTTGCGTTCTTGTAGTAAGTTAGGCCGATCGTTGGCGTACTGACGAGGTAGTGAAGAGCGCGGTCGAGCTCCGCTAGATGTTCGACTTCGGGCTTCTTGAGATAGGTGGCGAGCTGACTTGCAGAGTATGATAGGTCCGGGCGACAAGTGACAGCTGCGAATAGAAGGCATCCCAATTTCCTCTGGTAGTCACGTATGCCGGCGGGCCTGAGTAGAGTAGAGCCTTTGTTTTCTGCCGTGTAGCGGTATGGCATGGAGATGGTAGTTGGTGTGAGAGCAAAGCGTTTGGCGATGGTGTCGGCATATTTGGCGGCATTGAGGTAGATCGCTCCTTCTTCCTCCCGAATGTTCAAGCCGAGGTACTGTGTGACGGTGGAGGAAACCGTGAGTGTGAGGTCCCTCTGTAGCTCCCCTTCGAACAAGGTGGTGATGCCGTCGGTTGAACCGATGTAGAGTAAATCGCCTACGTAAACGATCAGCAGAATGTAGTCGGTGTCCTTAGTAAGTCGATACATTCCCTGATCGTGCGGTAGTTGTTTGAAACCGTTGCGAGTGAGGCGAGCGTGCAAGTACTGTTGCCATAGTCGCGGAGCTTGTTTGATCCCGTAGAGCGACTTCAGTAGCTGACAGACTTGGTTGGGTTCCCCGTTGGTACCGTGCGGCATTTCCACGAAAATTTCTGCGTCAACGGGTGCGTAGAGAAATGTGTTCGCGACATCGATTTGCCGTAGTTTCTTTTTCTTCATGGCGGCGACTGCGAGAAGGATTCGAAGCGAGGTGTGTCGGCTAACTGGGGCGAATGTCTCGGTGAAGTCCCGTCCATGCTCCTGATCAAATCCACGCACGACCCAGCGTGCTTTGAACTTCTCAATTGTGCCGTCTGCTTTCGTTTTGACGCGGAAGATGTCAGAACATTATAGCTTATATTGTTGTGTAGGCTATAGTGGGGTATCCCATAGGGGGTACAACCCAATTAGGGTTTCCTATATGTACTCACTTCATTCATAGTTGATCCATTCTCGTTCAATTCTTCTCATGGTATCAGAGCAGGTTCCCCTGTGGGAACCGCGCCTAGGGCCCACCACAACGATTTTTTTTACTGCCCGAAGCGCACTCATCCCGAGTCGCGCCTCGGGCTATTCACTCACCGAGCCGCCCTAGCGGCCTTCTCTCCCCTAGCGGCCCTGCCGCCCTACGCTTCGCGGCCCCGCCGCCCCTCCTTCGCGGCCCTGCCGCCCTGCTACCGCGGCCCCGCCGCCCTTCCTTCGCGGCCCCGCCGCCCTGCTCACGCGGCCCCGTCGCCCTCTGCTAAGCGGCCCCGCCGCCCTGCTACAGCGGCCCCGCCGCCCTGCACTTCGCGGCCCCGCCGCTCGACTTCAGCGGCCCCGCCGCCCTGCTATCGCGGCCCCGCCGCCTTTCCTTCACGGCCCCGCCGCCCTGCTCACGCGGCCCCGCCGCCCTCTACTAAGCGGCCCCGCCGCCCTCTGCTAAGCGGCCCCGCCGCCCTGCTATCGCGGCCCCGCCGCCCTGCACTTCGCGGCCCCGCCGCCCTTCCTTAACGGCCCCGCTGCCATTCCTTCGCGGCCCCGCCGCCCTGCTAACGCGGCCCCGCCGCCCTCTGCTAAGCGGCCCCACCGCCCTCTGCTAAGCGGCCCCGCCGCCCTGCTTCAGCGGCCCCGCCGCCCTGCACTTCGCGGCCCCGCCTCCCTGCTCAACGGCTCCGCCGCCCTTCCTTAGCGGCCCCGCCGCCCTGCTTGAACGGCCCCGGCGCCTCCCTTAGCGGCCCTGCCGCTCTCCTCTCCTGCCGCGCCACCCGAGCCGCCGCCCACTGCACCACCCTGCAGCGTGCACCTGAGCAGTCGACCGCCGCGCCGCCGAGTACCGGAGGAGCCGAGCCGCCTAGCCGCTGTGCAGCCGAGCCGCCCAGCAGCCGGGCCGCCCAGCAGCCGAGCCGCCGAGCCGCCGAGCCGCCGAACCGCAGTACTGCCGAGCTGCCCAGCAGCCTGCCGCCGAGCCGCCGAGCTGCCCAGCCGCCAGCCGTCGAGCCGGCCTGCCGCCCAGCCGCCGAGCCGCCCAGCCGCCGAGCCGCCCTGCAGCCGAGCCGCCCTACTGCCGAGCCGCCCGACCTGCCCTGTCTGGTGAGCACAGCCCCACTGCTACTGCGTGCTCTTCCCCCACTGCTTGCACCGCTAGTCTGTCGTCATGGCTACCCCTAGTGTCCTCGCTTTTGACGCTGAGGGTCGAGCCATTGACTTTGAGGTCTGGGTCGACGACTTGCAGCTGTTTTTACAGTGCGATAGGGCGGACGGTCTTTCTCTCTTTGACCTCACCTCTGGCGCCTCTCCTGCCCCTGCTGCTGATGCTGACCCCACTGTTCGCTCTCAGTGGGCCACCCGCGATGCTACTGCACGTCTTGCTGTGCGTCGCCACCTCCCTACCACAGAGCGCGCGCACTTTAGTCAGTACAAGAGTGCTCAGACCTTGTACGACGCTGTAGTTGCGCGCTACTCTTCCCCTGCCACTGCTGCACTGAGCCGCCTCATGCTACCGTACCTCTTTCCTGACCTTGCTTCCTTTCCCACAGTCGCTGACCTCATCACGCACCTCCGCACTAGTGACACTCGCTACCGCGCCGCGCTTCCTTCTGAGTTCTGCGCCAAGAACCCCCCCCCCCCCCCCCCATGTACATCACTCTCTATTACATAGTCACCCGCCTCCCTGACTCCCTTCGCGTAGTCAGGGACCACTTCCTCTCAGTCTGTCCCACCACTCTCACTGTTGACCTCCTCGAGAAGGCCCTCCTGGCAGCGGAGAAGAGCATCGTCGCTGTAGGAGCTTCTCGTGGTGACCCTCGCACCCCCATATTTGAGGGGTGTTCTCCTTCCCCCCTGCAGCCCTCTGTTGCCTCTGCTGCTGCCGCCGACCTGCTTGGCCTTGAGTCGGTTGGCGCGGCGTCTGCCCCTAGCGGGAGACGCCGCCCTGGCAAGGGCAAGGGGGGCAAGGGCGCGGGTGGAGCTGGCGGGGGCGGTGGAGGTGGCGGTGGAGCGGGCGGAGGGAGTGGGGGTGGCGGTGGGAGTGGTGGCGGGGGTGGCGGTGGTGGTGGCAGCAGCGGAGGCGGAGGCGGTGGCGGCGGCGGTGGTGGCGGAGGCGGAGGCGGCGGTGGTGGCGGAGGTGGAGGCAGTGGTGGCGGAGGGGGTGGAGCTGGTTGGGGTGGTGCCCCGCAGCGGAGCGGCTCTGATGGTGGTCAGCGCCAGCAGCAGGAGCAATAGCAGCAGCGTTCTCGGGACATCCCCCCGCCTCAGCAGCTGTGTGAGTGGTACACGCAGCGTCAGCGTGGTGGGGGCTTTGGTCCGTGCACCTACGTCCTTCGTTCCGGCGACCGCGCGGGTGAGCAGTGTGGGGGTGCCCACTCCACTCAGCGCTGCTTTGGCCGCCTGACGGACGCTCGGCGTCAGCCGTTCCCCGAGGCTAGTGAGATTCTCCGCTGGGGAGAGCTGTCTAGGGCTCGCGTAGCTATCTTTGATCTTGACTTTGATGCTATCCTTGCTGCCATGTATGCTGTGACTATTAGTGATGAGGGTGACTGTTACCGGTGTTTCCCGCCCGACCCGGGCATTGGTACTGCTGCGCTAGGTGCTTGTGAGGCTGCTGCTCTAGGTGCCAGTGCGTCTGCGCTCTCAGGTACTGGTGAGGCTGCGCTCTCAGGTACTGCGTCGGCTTCGGCCTCCCTCACCTTCACACTTGACTCCGGGGCTTCTCGCTCCTTCTTTCGAGACCGCACCACACTCACGCCGCTTGGTCGGCCGGTTGCAGTCTCCCTGGCGGACCCCTCTGGGGGTCCTGTCCTCTCTTACTTCTCCACTGTCCTCCCGTGTCCGGCTGCCCCCTCGGGCACTCTGTCTGGTCTGTACCTCCCCTCGTTCTCGACGAACTTGGTGAGTGGTGCTGACCTACAGGATGCGGGGGCTCACCAGTTTACTCCTGCGAGTCAGCGGGTGACCCACTGCTCGGACGCCCGCACAGGCCGACACCTGGCCACGTTCTCGCGTCGGCCCGGGTCGAGTCTCTACACCCTGACCACTGAGTCTCCTCCTGTCCCTGCGTCTGGCCAGGTAGCTGCGTCGGGTCAGGTGTTTGGTGCTGCGTCTCGGTCTGGTCCTGAGTCTGCCCCCTGTTCGTCTCGCCTCCTGTCTCACGAGACTCTCCTGTGGCACCACCGTCTGGGCCACCCCTCCTTGCCGGGTCTTCGAGGTGGACTCTGCCCTCCAAGTACAAGCCCCATGCCCGACGTACTGCACAAGTAGCGCAACACCCTCTTCGCTGCAGCCATGTGCTCCGGTCTGTGTCTCCCACGAGCAACATAGCGTGCGAGAATGCTAAGAGGGTATGCAAGGTCAGGTCGTGTGCAGGTCATCAGGTACATGAGGCAGCCAACAAGCTCTGGGTACGGGCCACTCGACTCTACGGACTCATCTGAAGGCAGAGCTGAGAGCGAGTGGCGAGTAGGCAGAGGAGTGGCCTGAGGCGAGGAGTACGTGAAGCCGAAGTGCTGAAGGACCTGCTGCACCATGTGTGACTGAGTCAGGGTAATGGTGCGGCGTGCTCTGTCCCGAGTGGTCTGCAAGCCAAGGTAGCTGCGCAGTTCACCCAGGTCAGTGCACGTGAGTCTCTTCTGCAGCTCGGACTTCACGTGGGCAAGTCCAGCAGTGTCAGCTGTGGCAAAGACCAAGTCGTCGACGTACACGAGGATGTAGAACGGCGGCAAAGAAGTGTCGGTGCGCAGAAACAACGACGGGTTGGCAGTAGAGGGAGCAAACCCAAGAGCCGCAAGTGTAGTCCTCAGTGTGTCGTGCCACTCACACGGTGCCTGGCGAAGAGCGTAGACTGGCCGCCATAGGCTCCACTGGGCGCCAGGAAGAAAAGTCCCAGTGAAGCCAAGTGGGCGGCGCAGCCAGATCTCCTCGTGCAGGCTGCCCTGCAAGAAAGCAGTGCTGAAGTCAAGAGAGTGTAGCTCGTAGTCACGGTGAGCAGCTATGTGAAGCAGTACCTGAAGAGTGGTCATCTTTGGGGTGGGAGAGAAGGTCTGAAAGTAGTCAACTCCCTGCCGCTGACAAAAGCCACGAGCCACGTAACGCGCCTTAAAGACAGGCGGAGAACCCGGCGGCCGCTTCACCCTGAAAATCCACATGCCACTGACGATGTTTGCCCCAGGAGGGGGAACACCGTCAACGTAGGTGCCTGTGGACTTCCAGGAAGCCATCTCTGCGTCCATAGCTGCCTGCCACTTAGAGGAGTAGGGACCCTCTATCACCTCCGCGTAAGAGCGCCGAGTCGGGATGTCAAGTGCATCCGGGTCTCCCTCAGGGGCAAGCAGTACGGACACGAGATGAGGTGAAGCAGCAGCTAGACACTGGAACTCCTCCTGCCTGTCCTCAAGGACGTCCGTGCCAAGAGCACACTCACCCCCGACGGACGGAGGACCGACAGACGCAGACTCAGCAACAAGGCTAGCAGCGTAGTCTAGGCGACAGCGAGCAGCAAAGTCGACGAGCTCAGCAACTAGGGCAGACGCAGCAGTGGACTCAAAGGAAGGTTCAGTGACAACAGTAGCTAGGAGACGCGTGACAGTAGGAGTGGCAGCACGAAGAGAGTCCGACTCAGGGTCGGCAAGAGCAGGAAGAGAAGACTCAGAAGGAGAGGGCAAAGGGGCACGCAGAGGAGTAGTGGACGGACGGAGAGACATCCGGTGCGTGCCGGGGAAAGGAGGAGGACACTGACGCAAACCGCGACCACTAGTGCGAGCAGTACGGACAAGCGACGCAGGGCGAGACGCAGGCTCACGACGCTCAGTAAGACCTACAGTAGGACGAGTGTAGGGAGACGGCGCAGGTAGTGAGGAGGCCGGCTGTAACTGTAACTGCGACGGAACAGGCTGTGAACACTCTAAGGGAGGAGGAGGACTAGTAGAAGACGGGAGACCAAGAACCTGCTGAAGGAGCGGAACGAAGTACGGCGGAGGCCGCGCGGCGACTCCAGACACAGCAGGGACAGCACCAGCACCCCTTGTGGCAGCACCAGCACCAGTAGCGGCTCCAGCTCCAGTACCTCCAGAAGTACCAGTAGTACCCTCAGTAGGACCGCCTCCAGGACCGACAGCAGTAGCCTCCGCGCCAACACCCGCAGCAGCTCCACCTCCAGAAGTACCTGCAGGCCCAGCAGCTCCAGTACTCCCAGTACGAGCACCTCCGGGACCCGCGGCACCAGCACCCTCAGCAGCAGTAGAACCTCCAGTACCCGTAGCACCTCCAGCTCCTGAAGCTCGCCTCCAGCGCCGGGCAAACCACTCACGCAGCTCGTGTGGAGAGAGTGGCTCCCGGCGAGACGAAGCATTCGGAGAACCGGCAGGTACAGCACCAGCAGGCCTAGCTCCCTCAGGCTCCGCACCCCTAGGCTCAGCACCTCCAGGCGTAGCACCCCCAGGCTCAGCATCCCCAGGCTCAGCACCCCCAGGCGTAGCACCCCCAGGCTCAACACCCCCAGACTCAGCACCCCCAGGCTCAGCACCCCTAGTCGTAGTACCCTCAGGCTCAGTACCTCCAGGAGTAGCACCGACACACTCAGTACCCCCAGAGTCAGCACCCCCAGGCTCAGCACCCTCAGCAGCACCAGAGTCACCAGCGACCTCGACAGGCTCAACAGCGTCTACCTGGGACACACCTGAAGGGGCAGGACCCTGAGGGGGGAGGGGGTCTACCGGCGGGGGACGTGGCACAAGGAAGAGCGGTGGCGGGGAGAGGGACGGAGTGCGGTAGGGGAAGAGACGGTAGTAGGGGACGGACTCGTCGAACGTGACGTCCTGGGAGGACAGAACACGGCGAGAGGTGGGGTGGTAGAACTGCCACCGTGGCGCGTCAGGGGGGAAACCCAGGAAGACGCAGGGAGCAGCACGAGGGGACAGCTTGTCCGCAGACAAGTCGCGGACAAACGCCCGAGATCCCAAGACACGGAACGCCGACGCATCGCCAACCTTCCCCGTCCAAAGCAAAGCTGGGGAGGTCTCCGGCATGGAGACCCTGGGCTGAAGGTTGATCTGATGCGCCGCGTACCGGACCGCTAGCGGCCACAGAAAATGGGGGGCAGCCGCATGCATCATGGACGTACGAGCGACGTCCATGACCATGCCAATGCGGCGCTCAGCAATCCCATTTTGCTGTGGAGAGTCCGGAAGCGTGAATATCTGGCGGATGCCTCGTGCACGACACTAGGCTCGCAGAAGGCCAGAGGAGAACTCTCTGCCTCTGTCACCACAACATCACGGGTAGTTTTTTGACGGAATGGGAAGTAAAGGAGCTGACCGAGCTATCCACCGAGGAGGAAGCCGATGCAGCAGCTGGACTTATCTATGAAAGGTCCTCGGAGATGGAGCTGGCTCTGGCAAAGGCAGCTGAGAACCATGATAAGGCACAGGAGAAGGAGAAGGTCGACTTTGACCGACGTTGAACCCTCCTGGAGCCGATCAGGATAGGGGATTTCATTCGGATCAAACCGACCAAGAGGGTGGCTTGGGCGGACCAGGACCGGAAATAAAAGACCCTCTTTAGGGTCAAAGAGGTAGAGGCATTTCATGTGACATTGGAGGCAAAAGGGGGGATGGTATGGCGGGAGTCCAGGGAGAACGTGAAGGTGGTGCAGTTCACCTTGTGATTTTGACCCATCCCAACCTCTTTTAGGGGTAGGAAGACCGCACCCCTCCACATCCCGACCCCTTCTTCCTTGTGTCAGGAGCCACAAGACCGCATCCGAGAAAGTTACATGTGTAACTTAAATACCAAAGTCATTAGCTAAAATGGTCAACGGGTCAACCCTCGGGGTTTCTAAGAGGATAATTGACCCGGATTTGAGTATGAGCTCCATCGGGCAGAGCCAAGAAACAAGGGTTCTTTAGGCATGCTAGGCCAATATGGGTATGCCCCTTTGGCAAATCTTTGGTGCATGAGTGCCCTAGCTAGGGTAAGAGGTTCGGTAGCCTATGGCTAATCACCTCGGGTCAATCCCTTTCGTATGGACCTCGCCCTGAAAGCGCCTTGGCTAGGTTAAATGATTCGGTAGCAAACCGCCTTGGGCTCGTCCCCTGGCGCGAATCTTGGTGGGCGAATACGTTGGATCTAGACGGCAGCATATCTATAAGCTGCCTAGATACCTCGGTCGGGGTATCTTAACCGGATAGGGACCCGACTTGGGCTCGATCCATGGTTTCGGACATCGGGAAGGATGCATTGAACCTAGGCGGCAGCATATTTCTATAAAGCCGTGGAACCACAGCTAGGGTGAATCAGTCCGGTAGCAAATCGCCTTGGGATCATCCCTTGGCGCGGACCTTGGAAACATCGGATAGGATGCATTGAACCTAGGCGGCAGCATATTTCTATAAGCCGCGGAACCACAGCTAGGGTGAATCAGTCCGGTAGCAAATCGCATTGGGTTCGTCCCTTGGCGCGGACCTTGGAAACATCGGATCCGGATGGCAACATTCAGTCCGATGAAGACCCGCCCCGGGATCTTCCCCTGGTACGGATGTCGGAATGAGGTACAACAGATCTAGATGGCAGCATAACCAATCCGATAGCGGCCCGCCCTGGTGCACACCTCGGTAAGCAATGCATTGGATTGGGCTGGCAGCATTCCTTCCTACTCAACAAATAAACCAAGGAGGGGTTTAGAGGAAAGTTCTAGGGGTGTTTCCTCGGGATAGGACCTCTAGGAATGTTGCATTTGAGTGGTGTGGGAAATGCCCTCCCACTATATGAACCTAGGGCAAAGCTTGTGTAGGCATAATCGATTAAGGAGATTACTCTTGCCCAACCTATTGCTACCAAGCTACTATTGTGGGATCGCTCTGAGCCTTCATACACTACTCAGAGGTGCTGCAGGCGGCCTAGTACTAAGGAGTTGCTCGCTCTAAGGAAGGAATAGCCCGAGGAGTAGGGCTAGAGCTCGACTTAGAGGACCCCGATCTAGTGGAGAGGCGCCGTTAGTACCATACGGGTGGTCTAGGACGGTCATAGCTACCCGGAGGTTGCAAGCTTAAGGTCAGAAAATTTTGAAAGTTCCTAATTTTGTGGTGGCCCATACTGGTTCTCCTCTCCCTTTGGCTGAGAAAACGAACCCGTCCCTTTCCGAATATGTCGAGTATAGCTGCAGCTATGGGGCAGTTGCCGCGCTTCGATGGGCGCTCACCGGACCCTAAGGTGTGGATTAGTCAGGCCACGCGTGCATTACGGTGCTTCCTAGCCGCCATACCCGAGGAGCAGCAGTTAGATTACCTACTGATGCAGCTGACGGACTCCGCCTACGTGTGGGCGGAGAGCAAGGATTTTCAGTCCGTGGCGGGCTTTGATAAGGCTTTTAAGGAGCGCTTTATTTGAGAATCAACCGCTAATGTCATGCAGAGGCTCACGGCTTTGAAGCAGAAACCGGGGCAGACGGTGATGGAGTTGGCGGACGAAGTGAGGCAACTTGCGGCCTACGTTCCCAACTACCCTACGGCTATGGCGGTGAGACACTTTATTGAGGGGCTGGGGGACAAAGGCCTGAGGGAGAGAGTGCTGGGAGGAAGGCCAATCTCCCTGGAGGCGGCTGAGGAAGCTGCTAAGTACTTTGTGTCCTATTCGTTACCAATGGGGATAGAGCCGGTGGTGGAAGCTGCTAAAGAGAAGGACCTGGTGAATAAGGAGTCCGAGGTGGATAAGATCACCAAGCAGCTGGAGAAGCTGAGTATCCAGTTAGCCCAGATGCAGCAGGGAAGGGGAGGCGGCTTACTCCATAGGCCGGCAGGAGGCAGATTTAAGTGTTACCAGTGCGGGAAGGAGGGGCATATGGCTCGGGACTGCACCCAAAAGGGGCGGGCGGCGCTGAACGTCATGCAGCAGGTCCTAGAGGGAAAAGCCCCGACTATAGCGGAATTTCTTAACGGGGAAGAGGGAAAGCTGGATATGCTGGTCGGACCTCGGAAAAGGCAGGCAGTCCGGGACCCGGAAGGATGGGGAATAGACGAGGCAAGGGAGGAGTTGAGGAAGAAGCTGGCACAGACGGGTGGGGCTGAGGAAGCAGCTAAGGGATCCCGGTTCGTACGGAGGCCACGGGTATCCGCCCTACCCAACTCATATAATGTGGTGGACCGGCTGAAACTCACCCCCGTGAGCGTCAGCGTCTGGAATTACATAAGCGACAGTGACAAGGTGAGAAAAGGGTTGTTGGATGCTCTGAAGCTGGTTGAGGATAAGGGGAAGGAGGACGGGGCAGCCGCCATGCAAGGGGTTTCGATAGTGGCAGCTGCTCCACGGGAGTCTAGGCATGAGGACCCGATCCCCAGCAACCTAGTCTTCCAAGTCCCCCAATGCGATGTCCACCTAGGCAAGCATCGTCTGACTGCTATAGTTGATTCCGGTGCGTCCCAAACGGCCCTGTCTCACGTCATCGCTAGGAAGTTAGGGCTGCTACCCTACCTCCAGGACACCACAATAGAGTATACCACCTCTAGTGGGGAGACGTCGAAGCCGTGGGGGATTTTGCCTGACGTGCCGGTGCGGGTGGGGAAGCTGACCCTCCCAATCGACATAGCAGTGACCGGGGCGAACACCTATGACATGCTGCTAGGACATGACTGGATCTATTCGGCTAATGCAGATATCATGACCAGCAAATGGCAGATAGTGTACCGGGTCAATACCAAAGAGACAGATTCGGTCCCTATCACTACTGGACCCGTGGGCACGGGTAGCCATCCCTCTTGTGTGTCCCTCCCGCCCCAAACACCCCACAGGAATGATACCAAGCCTCCTCAGCATTGGTCCGGGATGAATGAGGAGGAGTTCCAGCGGTGGCTAGAGGAGAAGCAGCTCCTCCTAGCCAAGGAGCAGGGGCGCATCCGGCTGACGGAGGAGGAGGAGGCGGACTATTGGGCATGGGTCCAGGAGGAAGAGGAGTTGGATCGGGCGGAGCTGGAAGCCCTAGAACTCAAGGAGCATGAGTTCTATGAGGAGCTCGGGGCAGACGGGCTCGATGGCATACCCGAGTGAGGTGAGCCAGAAGGAGAAGTCGGGACGGATGACGAAATGCCTCGTCTCTTTGGGTCGGATGGGGAACGCTACTCTGACCTTGGGGTATCGGATGATGAGGCTGGGGAACCACACTGGGACATGGGGTATGAGGAGGCACGGAGGGCTGTGGAGGAAAAGGGGGAAATCACGGACCTATTGGAAGGGGATTCGATGATGGACGGGGAAGAGTACCTGGTGGAGGACAAGGAGGAAGGGGAGCTGGCTTACGAGGGGAAGGGGCATCGGATCAGTCCGGACTACCTATTCGCGCTATTCAATTACCCGGCAGCTGAGCGGTGGCAGTACTTGGCAGCCGAAAAAGGGGATGAAGGAAGGATAGTTCTCGGTAGTTATTACAGCCTCAAAAAGGAGGCCACTCGAGTTGCCTGCCCTGCCTTTGAGGACCTGCCGGTGTCACTTAACCATGAATTGGGGATGGCCCAACAGACGGACCTGAGGAAGCTGCTGGTAGAGTATCGGGAGGTCTTTGCCACAGAAGCAGAACCGTTGGGCACCCACCCCACCGTCCTTCATCACATTGCCACTGGGTCAGCCAAGCCCATCTCCCACAAACCATACCGGGTATCCCCCTCAGAACGGGCTCGGATAGAAGAGGAGGTAGCGGCCCTCTTAGAACAAGGCGTGATCCGACCCTCCAATAGCCCCTGGGCCCCCCCCTGTATCGTCATCCCGAAAAAGGACTTTGGTGATCGGGTGGTGATCGATTACCGACCCCTCAATGCGGTAACAGAAGCAGCGGACCAGTTTCCCATGCCGAGGATTGATGACATCCTCGACCGGATGACGGGGTCGCTGTATTTCTCAGTCCTCGACGTCAAATCGGCCTATCATACCATCAGAGTGGCCAAAGAGGACATCCCTAAGACCGCTTTTGTTACCTCCTCGGGCCAATATGAGTATGTTCGGATGCCTTTTGGATTGAAAAATGCCCCTGCCACATTCCAACGCCTCATGACCACCGTTTTTCGCACCCATCTTAACGCCATTCCCTATCTCGATGATATTATAGTCTTTTCCAACAGTTGGGAGGAGCACTTGGAGCACCTACGGGATGTCTTCGAACGGGTGAAGGCCAACCACCTGCTCCTCAAGCCCAACAAGTGCGAGTTGGGGTTCTACTCCACGATCTACTTGGGGCACATCGTGACAAGGGATGGGTTGAAGCCGGATGCGGGAAAGGTGGAGGCGATTAGTATGATGGCGGCACCGGTGGATGTGAGAGGGGTCCGGGAGTTCCTGGGGTGCACCAGTTACTACCGGCGGTTCATAAAGGGGTATGCGAAGGTGGCGCATTCCCTCACGCAGCTGCTGCACAAGGACAACCCATTTGAGTGGACGGACAAATGTGAGAGAGCATTCAATGCCCTCGAACTGGCTCTAATCTCCCCTCCCATTCTCGCTTTCCCAGACTTTTCTAAACCCTTTATCCTCCAGACGGATTTCTCTGCTACGGCCTTGGGGGCCATCCTAGCTCAAAAGGATGAGAAGGGGGCGGAGCGAGTGGTGGTGTACGCTAGCCGTACGACAAGGGGGGCGGAGAAGAACTTGTCGTCCACCCACGGGGAGTGCTTGGCAGTGGTGTGGGCTATCAAACACTTCCGACCCTACCTCTATGGGAGCCGGTTCCTGCTGCAGACCGACCACCAAGCCCTCCAGTGGCTAATGACGGCCAAGGACTTAACAGGAAAGTTGGCCAGGTGGAGTCTACCCCTGCAAGAGTACGACTTTACCGTCTCCTATCGGCCTGGGGAGACACACCGGAATGTGGATGCACTTAGCCGCATGCACCAGGGGCTGCATCAACAGTCCGGGGGGGAGGCACTCTCATATGCACACTCACCTCCCCTGTCCCCCACCTCAAACCCCATCCCCATGTTCACAAACCCGTTCCCACGGTCACCCCCACCACCACCAGCTGGGGAAGAAAGCAGCAGCTCGGTTGATGGGGAAGGGGACGGAGGGGATGTTGGTGTTAGGCCCCAATCTCACATTTTGTACTTGTACTTTTATATCCTAGTTTAGTGTAGTTTGCACTTTGTGTTTGGTTGGGTGTACACCCACATCCCAACCAAACCCAAATGTAATCTCCAAGCAATCTCCAACCCACCAATTGGAGATTGCCTTGGGATTACCCTTGATTCCCTAGGATTGCCTCCTGATTCCCTCCTCATCCCTACCTTGCTCATTCCGGATGTACTTAAAGAGCTTTGAGCTCACTACTATAGCATCGATTCTAAGCTCAAGTTCTAACATGGTATCAGAGCAGCTCAACCGCATACGCGGATCGTGATCCTCTCATCTCTGCGGATACTTGTCCTGCAAACCTCGGGGAAGCCATCGCCAATCTCGTCGCCGTTGATTCGCGACATTCATCGGCGGAATTTCTCCCGCCACATCTTCCCGTCACCATCAACGGAAACTTCTCTGGTAAGCGCATCGTCGGCGCTCTAACCTAACACTCGTTTTCATCAATTCGTCACTCTCGTCACTTCTTCTCCTCGTCGGGCCGCCGCCCGTCGCCCTGCAGCTCCTCGTCGGGCCGCCGCTCGTCGCCCTGCAGCTTCTCTTCGGGCTGCCGCCCGTCGCCCTGCAGCTTCTCGTCGGGCCGCCGCCCGTCGCCCCGCAGCGTCATCCTCGGGCTGCCGCCCGTCGCCCCGCATCTGCACTCCTACCCCCATCCCCCCTCTTTCCCGCAGCTGAACAGGTGCAGCAACGCAGCCGAGCAGCAGCGTAGCCGCGAAGCCGAGCAGCCGTGTAGCCGCGAAGCCGAGCAGCAGCGTAGCCGCAAAGCTGAGGGTGGTGTGTGGGGGGGTGTGTGGGAATAGGACTAGTAGGTAGTTGACACTAAATTGGCGTCTCAGTCAAATTCTCCTTCAGAAACCCTAATCCTCAATATTCTCTTTCGTAAACCCTAAACCTCCGGTTCTTCAAAATCTCCTTTGGAAACCCCAAACCTCAAGTTCCTATTGGTGACTTAAGAGCGGCGCTCCGCGCGAGAAGCTAAGGGGTCTCCACCATGGCTTTCTCGTCTTCCACCATGGCGAACCCCATCACCCCGCTCCGCCTTGAAGCCGATGGCTCTAGCTCCAACTTCAAGGCGTGGAGCTACGGAGTTGACAAGCACCTCCTGAGCCGTGACGTGCAGGGCCTTGACCTCAAGGACGTCCTCCTCAACCGTGGCAAGGGGAAACAGCCCACTCTTCCCCGTGAACCGACCGAATCTTCAAGAGATGCTGACGTGATGACGTACGAAGAAGCTGTTGAGAAGTACCGGAAGTGGGAGAAGGCCGATGCTGCCATCATCAGCGTCTTCATTGCCTCCACCCCTCCCGAACTTGTCAACACGTTCCACAACTACCCTACCTCCAACGCCATCTGGAAGTATCTCCAGGATCGGTTCATGAACAAGACGGCGGTCGGAGTGGCGATTCTCATCCCCAGCATGTTTCAAGTCCGCCTTGAGGACTGCTCAGGAATGGCTGACTACATCGCCAAGGTGCAGACCATTCATGGTGAACTCAAGGAGCTGGGTATAGTCTTCCCCGAACAAGCCCCTGCAGCCGCCCTTCTTGTTGGTCTCTCCTCGGCATATGAAGTCACGAGGAAGATGCTCCTCACGCTCTCAGCGGAAGACCTCACCTTTGCTAAGGTCTCCACCGCACTCCTCTCTGCCGAGAAAGACTCCACAGCTCAGGCCAAGGCATACGCCATCCGTGCTCCCATGCCCCTAGCAAGTGTTGCAGCGGCCCTTGCCTCGGCGCCTTTCCAGCGCAACCGCTTTCCTCCGTGCACCTATGTCGTTAAGTATGGCAATCGCAAGGGACAAGTGTGTGGTGGCACTAACCACCCCCTTGCTACGTGCTTCAAGAAGAAAGACGACGAGTGGTATGCCATCCACGGGGTTGACAAGAAGCCGCCAAACTGGATGCGCGCTCGTAAGGCCAATTTCGTTGAGGTCCAGGACCCCTCTTCGGCTAGTGCTAGTGATAGTGCTCCTGTTGATGTGCGTATCAACCTGTTGTTTCCTGGCACTGCCATGATTAATGAAGCCACTTCCCAGTACATCGACTCATCACAGGCACCACAGTACATAGAGTTCACACTCGACAGTGGGGCCACTCACACTGTGCTCAAGGAGACACTCTCCTTCAAACCCTATCCAGCACCTATCGCTCTCTTGGGAGCTGACTCCAGCTTCACCACCCTAGCCAAGGGCACCTCCACAGTCCCATGCCCAGCCTTCCCTTCCGGCACCGTCACTGGCATGTGCGTGCCTTCACTACGCCACAATCTAGTGGCTCAAACAGAAATTCAGAAAGTAGGGCTACGCACCATCTTCTCGGAGAATGAGGACCACTGCGACATCATTGACCCACTCACCAACAAGGCTTTGGCCCGCTTCACCCTCAATAGCAGCGGCCTCTACACGCTACGCGTTCCTCTCCCACAGGTTTCAACCACCCAAGCACAGGCTCCCATCACACCATGCACATGTCGCAGCCTCTCCAACCCGACCATCCTCTATCATCATCGGTTAGGGCACCCAAACTTCCGCACGCTTGCTGACATGGCCTCCAAGAAACTTCTTCTCGGCCTGCCAGCCACACTTCCTCCCCCACCTGACTCACCCGCTCCCACGTGCCTTGATTGCACCAAGAGCAAACTGCGCCAACAGCCCCACACTGACTCACCCACAATCGCAGCGGCACCACTGGACCTAGTGCACATGGACGTCTGGGGCCCTGCCCCTGTTCTTGCACGAGGTGGATATCGCTACTTCCTAGTTATCGTGGATGACCACTCACGATACGTCTCTGTTCACCTCCTCCACACTAAGGCTGAGGCTCCAGAGGTCATCATGGCGTGGGTCAAGCAGGCACAGACCACCTTTGACCGCAAGGTCAAGCGCCTTCACTCGGATGGGGGGGGTGAATTTTGCAACGACAAGCTTAAAGCCTTCTGCTCCTCCGAAGGCATCCAGCAAAACTTCACCCTCCCTGACAGCCCTCAACAGAACGGCATAGCTGAGAGCCGCAACCACACTCTAGTGCAGATCACTCGGTGCCTCCTCAGCCACTCCAACGCTCCACACTCTCTCTGGGGATACGCTCTCTACCACGCCGCCCTCCTCTACAACCTTTACCCCCATCCGCACCTTCCCGAAACCACTCCAACCACACTCTGGCTCGGGAAAACGCCCACTGCTCGCTCTCTTCGCGTTTGGGGATGCACCGCCTATGTCCTCCTCAACCCTCAGGCTCGACGCCAGAACGGTGGCAAGCTCGGTCCCAAGACTCAAACGTGCATCTACCTTGGGCACAACGCCGACTCACCTGACTACCTCTTCCTCAATCCCTCCACTCAACAGTTGGTCAGGAGCCGCGATGTTGTCTTTGATGAGACCCGCCCATTCTACTCCCCTTCGGGACGGGACCCTCTCCCTGATCCACCCTCCCTCGTGTGGGCAGACTTTGACGCGCCTCCCGACCTCCCGCCTGCTCCTGCCCCCTCACCTCCTCCCTCTCCTGCCATCCCACCATCTCCCTCTGAGGTCTCTGACCCGGCCTCACCGGTGTCTTCGGCAGCTGCTCCGCCCCCCCCTTCACCTTCCTCACTTCCCGCTGCGCCGCCCCCTCCGAGCGCACCTATCACCTACCATCGGCGGTCCCACCCTCCGGCCCCACCTCCTCCCCCAGTTCCCCCCACCACAGAGGAACCCGCTCTCCCACAGTCGCCCGAGCTGATCACGTACCGCCGGCGGCCCATTCCCCCACCCAAGCCTCCTAAGTCACCCTCTCCGACACCGCCTGCCCCGCCCTCCTCACCGGTGGCTCATGGCACCCGCTCCCATCGCGCTGCCCTTCCACTCGCAATGGTTCTTCGATACACAATGATCACACCGCCTCCTCCTGCTGGGGGGGATGTACCCTCTACCCTTCTAGAAGACAGGCATGAGGAGCTGTGTGATCTCCATGCAGTCATTCCTCAGCTCTCACACATCTTCCCCGATATCACTGGCTCACCCTCCCTCAACCTCGCGGAGAACCCGACCATCCCTATCCCTCTCACCGTCCAAGAGGCTCTCTCAGGCCCTCATGCTGCCAAATGGCGTGCTGCCATGGACGCGGAGATTGCAGCATTCACTCGCAACCACTCTTTCGATGACGAGACTCCACCTCCAGGAGTCAACATCGTCGGGGGCAAGTGGTTGTTCCGTGTAAAACAGCTCCCAGACGAGGCACCGGTGTTCAAAGCGCGTTACGTAGCCAAGGGCTTCACCCAGCAGCGGTACCGCGACTTCGACCTAATCTTCTCCCCCACATCCAAACCTCCCACCATTCGAACGCTCATGGATGTTGCAGCTCGAGAAGACTTTGAGATCAAATCCATGGATGCCTCCTCCGCCTTCCTACAAGGACGTCTCAAGGAGACAGTGTTCATGGACAGACCAGAAGGCTTCCCAGGAGAATTCCCTCCCAACACTGTCTGGAAGCTGAATCGCCCCGTCTACGGCCTTAAACAAGCCCCTCGCGAATGGCACAACAAGGTGAAAGAAGTCCTCCTCTCCCTGGACTTCCACCCCTCAACTACTGACCCGACTCTCTTCATCCGTCGTCATTCTGAGCCATTCTACATCCTAGTCTACGTGGATGATTTTATCCTCGTTGCCAAGGACTCGGCCCAAATGACCTCAGTCCAGGCAGCCCTGAGCAAGGCCCTCCAGATGAAAGACCTCGGTGACCTCAAGCACTACCTGGGAATGGAGATCACTCGTGATCGCAAGGCTCGCACCATCTCACTCTCCCAGGAGTTCTACATCGACAATGTGCTCAAGCGGTTTGAGATGGAGCTGTGCACACCTGTTGCCACCCCGCTGCCGCTGCAACACCTCCTTACAGCTCCTGCTGTACCCACACCAGAGGCCTGCTCTGAGCCATACCCGGAACTTGTTGGGTCCCTCATGTACGCCATGATGTGCACCCGACCGGACTTGGCCTACCCAGTCAGTGTTCTCTCTCGTTACGTGGCCCCGGGTCGCTTCACTAATCTTCATTGGAAGGCAGCAAAGCGGGTGCTGCGCTTTCTTAAGGGCACAAAGTCCCACGTTCTCACACTCGGTGGGCTCTCCCCTCCTCGCCTGGAAGGCTACACAGACTCCTCCTGGGCTGATGACCAGACCGACCGACGCTCCTCTCAGGGGTACTGCTTCACCCTCGGGAGCGGAACTGTCAGTTGGCGCTCCACCAGGTCGTCTGCAGTCTCCCTCTCCTCCTGTGAGGCGGAGCTCTACGCAGGCACCATGGCTGCTCAGGAGGCCCGTTGGCTCACCTTCCTACTCCAGGAGCTTGGCTTCCCTCAGTCAGCCCCCACCCTCTGGTGTGACAACCAGAGTACCATCCACATCTCTCAAGACCCTGTGTATCACACCCGCACCAAGCATATTGAACTTCGGCACTTCTTCATTCGTCACCTTGTGCAACAAGAGCAGCTGAAGGTGGAATACGTGGCATCTGACTGCAACCTGGCTGACCTATTCACCAAGCCCCTTGGGAAGGTTCCCCACCATCGTCTCCTTGGCGCCATGGGGCTCTGCGCTCCTCCTTCTCCGCCATGAGTTCGATTGACGCCTCAGGGGGGGTGTTGGTGTTAGGCCCCAATCTCACATTTTGTACTTGTACTTTTATATCCTAGTTTAGTGTAGTTTGCACTTTGTGTTTGGTTGGGTGTACACCCACATCCCAACCAAACCCAAATGTAATCTCCAAGCAATCTCCAACCCACCAATTGGAGATTGCCTTGGGATTACCCTTGATTCCCTAGGATTGCCTCCTGATTCCCTCCTCATCCCTACCTTGCTCATTCCGGATGTACTTAAAGAGCTTTGAGCTCACTACTATAGCATCGATTCTAAGCTCAAGTTCTAACAGGGGATAGTGGTGAGGAGGAAGGAGACGAGGTGGACGGCCGTGAACCAGAGGAAATGAGTAGCAATACGGAGAAGCGGGATGGGGAAGAAGAAGGAGAAGTCGGGCAAGCCGGATCCGAAGAGTCCGATGATGGAGATGGGGATGAAGGGTTGGGAGAAGAGGGCGATGAAACAGATGGATCCGGAGAAGGGGATGGTGAGGACGAAGAGGAGATAGAGGAGGAGGAGGCGGACGAGGGAGACAAGGAGATGGTGGACCCAAGGGTAGGAGGGCAGGAAAATGACCATGAAGGGTCGGAAGAGAGGAGGTCGTCACCGCCAATGACACAACCTCTCAAAAAGGTCAGACGGGATAAGGGAAAATTGAAGGAGGAAGCCGGGACCTCAAAGGGGGATGAAAAAGAGGCCGGGGGAGGTGGACCCCCACACGGAACCCAAGAGGAAGAGCAGCCGGGTAGAAGTCTCGCATCCGAGACAACCACACTAGACATTTGGGATGACCTCAACACCTTGTTCTATCTGGAGTGCGGGGAGGTTGATCTGGCATGGGATACGGCTGAGAAGCGGAGGGTGCGGGCCCGGGGAAAGAAGTTCGAACTACGGGATGGGGTGCTGTGGAACCTGAAGGCAAAGGGGGATAAAAAGCCGGTCCCTAGGAAGGAAGAGAGGGGGGAGATCATTAGCCTCCTTCACGGGCTGGGGCACCTTGGGGTCCAACGCACCACCGACCTGGTTCGGAAGCAGTACGACTGGTATGGCATGGGGAGTGACGTATCAGCCTTCGTACGAGGGTGCCCTACCTGCACCTTCCAGAGGGGATCCTGGACAGCAAAAGGGGAACTGCGGCCGGTCCCGGTAACAAAGCCATGGGACAGGGTGGTGATCGACTTCGTCCACTACCGGTGACGGAAAAAGGGGGGAACCGGTACATCATATCAGCCATGGACCACTTCACCAAGTGGCCTGAGTGCAAGGCGGTGAGGCATGCGGATTCAGCAACGGCAGCCGCGTTTGTAGCTGAGAAAATCATCTCCACGCACGGCTGCCCGCTCGTGATCCACACGGACAATGGGCAGCATTTTCATGGGGAGTTCGGGGTGCTGCTGGAAAAATTCGGAATTTATCATGAATTCTCTTGCCCCAATCATCCTCAGAGCTCGGGGCTTATTGAGAGGTTCCAAAGGACGCTAAAGGGGGCATTGGTGAGACCAACCCGTTTGAATGGGATGAGAACATCTGCTGGGTCTTGTTGGGGTACCGGGCCTCCATTCATTCCTCCACCAAATTCTCCCCCTTTTTCTTGCTCTATGGCCGCCACCCCAACATCACGGGTAGTACCTTGACGGAATGGGAAGTAAAGGAGCTGACCGAGCTATCCAACGAGGAGGAAGCCGATGCAGCAGCTGGAATTATCTATGAAAGGTCCTCAGAAATGGAGCTGGCTCTGGCAAAGGCAGCTGAGAACCATGGTAAGGCACAGGAGAAGGAGAAGGTCGACTTTGACCGACGTCGAACCCTCCTGGAGCCGATCAGGATAGGGGATTTCATTCGGATCAAACCGACCAAGAGGGTGGCTTGGGCGGACCAGGACCGGAAATAAAAGACCCTCTTTAGGGTCAAAGAGGTAGAGGCATTTCATGTGACATTGGAGGCAAAAGGGGGGATGGTATGGCGGGAGTCCAGGGAGAACGTGAAGGTGGTGCAGTTCACCTTGTGATTTTGACCCATCCCAACCTCTTTTAGGGGTAGGAAGACTGCACCCCTCCACATCCCGACCCCTTCTTCCTTGTGTTAGGAGCCACAAGAGCGCATCCGAGAAAGTTACATGTGTAACTTAAATACCAAAGTCATTATCTAAAATGGTCAACGGGTCAACCATCGGGGTTTCTAAGAGGATAATTGACCCGGATTTGAGTATGAGCTCCATCGGGCAGAGCCGAGAAACAAGGGTTGTTTAGGCATGCTAGGCCAATAGGGGTATGCCCCTTTGGCAAATCTTCGGTGCATGAGTGCCCTAGCTAGGGTAAGAGGTTCGGTGGCCTATGGCTGATCACCTCGGGTCAATCCCTCGGAGCCGGGAAGAGCGGCACTGGGGCTGTAGGAGCAGGCGTCGGGGCCGTAGGAGAAGGCGCCGGGGCCGTAGGAGCAGGGGCCGGGGACGTAGGAGCAGGCGCCGGGGCCGTAGGAGCAGGCGCCGGGGCCGTAGAAGCAGGGGCCGGGGCCGTAGGTGCAGGCGGCGGGGCCGTAGGAGCAGGCGCCGGGGCCGTCCAAGGTGGCGTCGGGGCCGGGAAGGGCGGCGCCGATGCCGCTAGGGCGGCTCGAAGGGCCGGAAGGGTGGTAAGCGGGGCCGACAGGCGGCGCAAGAGGCCGCTAGGGCGGCGCGCGGGGTCGGTGGGGCCGCTGTAAGAGGCGGCGACGGGCCGCAAGGGGGGAGGCGGCGACGAGCCGCAAGGGGGAGGCGGCGACCGGCCGCTGAGGGCGGTACGATGGGGCCGCGAAGGAGGCGGCGCGACTGGCCCGCAGAAAGGGGCGGCGCGACGGGCCACTAAGGGCGGCGTGACGGGCCGTAATGGCGGCGCCATGGGCCGTGAGAGGGCCGCTAGGGGCAACGCGATGGGGCCGTGAGGGGCCTAGCGAGGGCGCGCCGGTAGGGAGAGCACACGGAGCGCGACTCGGGCTGAGTGGAGCGCGCTCCGGGCAGGAAAAAAAAATTCGTAGTGGTGGGCCCTAGGAATCTTTCCCGTTAGGGAACCTGCTCTGATACCATGAGATGAAACAAGGAATGAATGAACTATGAATGAATTGGGTACAAGTACTAACCCTAATTGGGTTGTACCCCTTATGGGCTACCCCACTAAGCTAAGCTACAATGTTCTGACAGAGGCGACGTTGACTGCTGTCGATTCGGGCAGAGCGTACGAGGGTGCCCTGAAGTTTTGCAGAGGTGGCAGAACGGAGGTACGATTCTTGGTCGATTATTGTTGTTGTTGTTGTAACGTCGTTGAGTGTGAAACGCGAATTCCGGTACTGATGCCCTTTTCTGGTGTCGTTCTTCTTGCAAGTCCATGTCTTGCTGTTCGGCGTGGATTTCGGCGCAAAGTGCTGCTTTTGAGATTTTTCCATGGGCTCGGAGTATGGCGTGAGTGGAGCGCCAGTGAGGACCAAGACCGCTGATGAAAACCCACAGCCATGGACACAGAGATGGCTTCCTGGAAGTACACAGGCACCTACGTCGACGAGGTTCCCCGCCTGGGGCGAACATCGTCAGTGGCATGTGGATTTTCAGGGTGAAGCGGCCGCCGGGCTCTCCGCTTGTCTTCAAGGCGCGTTACGTTGCACGAGGCTTCAGTCAGCGAGAGGGAGTTGACTTCTTCCAGACCTTCTCCCCGACCCCAAAGATGACCACTCTTCAGGTTCTGCTGCACGTCGCCGCTCAGCGTGACTACGAGCTCCACTCTCTTGACTTCAGCACTGCTTTCCTACAGGGCAGCCTGCACGAGGAGATCTGGCTGCGCCGCCCACCTGGCTTCACTGGGTCGTTCCCTCCTGGTACCCACTGGAGCCTCCAACGGCCAGTCTACGGTCTTCGCCAGGCGCCACGTGAGTGGCACGACATAGTGAGGACTACACTTGCGGCTCTTGGGTTCGCGCCTTCTACTGCTGACCCGTCGCAGTTTCTACGCACCGACACCTCACTGCTGCCGTTCTACATCCTCGTGTACGTCGACGACTAGGTCTTTGCCACTGCTGACACTGCTGCACTCGCCCACGTGAAGTCAGAGCTGCAGAAGAGACACACGTGCACAGACCTGGGTGAACTGACAAGCTATCTTGGCTTGCGGATCACCCGGGACAGAGCACGCCACACCATCACCTTGACTCAGTCACACATGGTGCAGCAGGTCCTTTGGCGCTTCCGCTTTACGTACTCCTCGCCTCAGCCCAGTCCTCTGCCTACCAGTCACTCGCTCTCAGCTCTGCCTTCGGATGAGTCCGCAGAGCCGAGTGGCCCGTATCCAGAGCTTGTGGGCTGCCTCATGTACCTGATGACCTGCACTCGACCTGACCTTGCATACCCTCTTAGCATTCTTGCACGCTATGTCGCTCCCGGCCGTCACCGGAAGGAGCACATGGATGCAGCTAAGAGGGTGTTGCGCTACTTGTGTAGTATGTCCGGCATGGGGCTAGTGCTTGGAGGGCGAGACCCAATTGTTCTCACTAGGCACTCAGACGCTTCTTGGGTAGACGACCAGGCTACTCAGCGGTAGTCTCAGAGTTACACCTTCAGTCTTGGCTCTGGTTTAGTTTCTTGGCGTTCTACTCGCTCTTCTTCTGTTCTCAGCTCATGGGCCATGGCGGCCCAGGAGCTACGCTGGCTCACCTACTTACTGACCGACCTTGGAGAGCGGCCTCGTTCTCCTCCAGTGCTGTACGTCCACAACAAGGCAGCCATTGCCTTGTGTCAGGAGCACAGACTGGAGCACAGAACGAAGCACATTGCTCTGCGTTACTTCCTTGCTCGAGAGCTGCAGTAGCGTGGTCAGCTTTGTTTGCGTTACGTGGCCTCTGAGGCCAACACTGCTGATGTGTTCACCAAGGCGCTTCAGCCTTGTAACCATCAGCGCTTTTACACTCTTCTAGGCCTTGTGCCTACTGGACCTCACTTGCTTACTTCTTGAGTCTGTTTGTACTGTGATCTCTATATATATACCTGCATGTTAACTCTTGCTAGGTTGTGATCATTGTACCTCTTGCTCTATAATAAACCTGCATGTGAACCGGTCCTGTGACCACTCGCTTGTGCTCGGAATTTGTGTGGTATCCTTGAGATCCACCCTGAGCTTGTTTTGCCTTGCTTTGCCTTGACTGGTCTTGTGACCCCTAGTTCTCCCCCACTTCGCCTATGGGGGTGTGTCAAACATTATATATGTTGTGCTTGTTTAGGCTACAGTAGGTTAGCCTATAGGGGGTACACAATTCTAGGGTTAGGTACTTGTACTGATTTCACTGTTAGTTCAACCATTCGTGTTCGTTCATTTCAACAGCGTCCAGGTCTTGTCCTGAGTCTGCTCCCTGCTCGTGTCGTCTCCTGTCCCACGAGACTCTCCTTTGGCACCACCGCCTTGGTCACCCCTCCCTGCCTTGCCTCCAAGGCATGGCCTCTCGTGTCCTTGTCTCTGGTCTCCCCCGGTCTCTCCCTCCCCTACCTCCGGGGCCCGCCTCTACTTGCGTCCCCTGCGTCGAGGGGCGACAGCGCGCCGCCCCTCACTCCTTCGAGTTTCCTCCGACAGAGGCTCCGCTGCAGACTCTTCACATGGACGTGTGGGGCCCCGCCCGCGTCCGTGGACAGGGGCACGAGCGTTACTTCCTTTTGGTGGTTGACGACTACTCGCGTTACACCACAGTCTTCCCCTTGCGCAGCAAGGGCGACGTCACTGAGGTGTTGATCGACTGGATCCGCACAGCTCGACTCCAGCTCAGAGAGAGTTTCGGCTCGGACTTTCCTATTCTGCGTCTGCACTCTGACAGAGGCGGGGATTATTCCTCTTCCCGCCTGGGAGCCTTCTGTCAAGCACAGGGCATCCGCCACACCTTCACGCTTCCGACCTCTCCGCAGCAAAATAAGTTTTCTGAGCACCGCATTGGCATGGTCATGGACGTCGCTCGTACGTCCATGATGCATGCAGCTGCCCCCCATTTTCAGTGGTCGTTTGCAGTTCAGTACGCAGCGTATCAGCTAAACCTCCAGCCCCAGGTCTCCTTGCCAAAACCCCCCCCACCCTGCGGTGGACGGGGAAGGTTGGCGATGCGTCTGCGTTTCGGGTCTGGGGATCTTGGGCGTTTGTTCGCAACTTGTCTGCGGACAAGCTGCCCCCCCGTGCTGTTCCCTGCGTCTTCCTTGGCTTCCCCCCTGACGCGCCTGGTTGGCAGTTTTACCACCCCACCTCGCGCCGTGTTCTGTCCTCCCAGGATGTCACCTTTAACGAGTCAGTGCCTTACTACCGTCTCTTCCCCTACCGCACTACGCCCCTCCCCTTGCCGCCGCTCTTCCTTGCGCCAAGAGCTCCCTCGGTAGACCCCCTCCCCCCTCAGGGTCCTGCCCCGTCAGGTGTGTCCCAGGTAGACGTAGTCGAGCCTGTCGAGGTCGCTGTTGACTCTGGTGCTGCTAGAGGGGCTGAGCCTGCGGGTGCCGGGTCTAGAGGTGCTGAGCCTGGGGGTGCTGAGTCTTGGGGTGCTGGGCCTGGGGGTGGCGGGTCTGCTCGTGTGGCCTCGCGCGGTGCTTCTTCAAGGCAGGAGCCACTCTCTCCGCAGTAGCTGCGCGAGTGGTTTGCCCGGTGCTCGAGCCGTGCTGATGGAGCTGGAGGTACTACTGTTGCTGCTGGTCACGGAGGGGCTCGTCCTGGTGGTTCAGGAGCTGCTGGGACTAGGGGTGCTGCTGGTGCTGCTCGAGGTACTGCCGGAGCTGCTGGCGGTACTGGAGCTACCGGTCCTGCTGGAGTTGGTGCTGCTGGATCTGCTGGAGCTGCTGGGGGTGTTGGCGCTGGTGGTGCTGCTGGCGCTGGTACGTCTGAGGGTGCTTGAGTTGGCGCTGTTGGAGCT